TTTTCCAAATTTTAATATCGACTCAAAATAATTTAAAAAGACAAATTACAATAAAACAGTTTATTATCCAACTATCAGAAATTTCACAACATGCCAAGGAAGAGAGGAAGGAGTAATTAAATAATCAAAATTATAAAGCATTTAAAAATATATATAAAAATGGGGAATATCGCACTTCTGACAATCGCAGCGAGTGTGTGGTCTAAATTTGGAGAATCCGTGCTTCTCGCATGGACAACTGTATGTGGCCAACTCACGCGTCGGAAAACCTTCTGATTTATTCGTGTACGCGCCAGACGGAAAAACAAAAAATATCGTGTATCCACAAAGCACTCCAATGAATAAATAGAATTGAAACGACACTTTGAAATGTTTTCCCGATGAAAATGAATAATAATAATAAGTTTCAATAAAAATAATAAAATGTAAATTTAATATTATTATAACGAGTTTGCTTGAATTTCATTTCTTCTGAGATCTCAGCAATGCGCGACGGGTAAGCTAGTTTCTGATAAATTCTTTCAAAGTTTCTTAACAGATTACAGAAATTAGCTTATATGTTTTAAATTATTTTAAACTTAAAATGCATCTCAATTTTCATTATCAGAAACATTAAAAACATGTTAAGTTTAAAATAATAGTGTTTTTAACAGAAAAAATTTTCGTCAGTCATTGAATTTCCAACAATCATTGAAAATTTTTATTTCTTATTATTCAGCATGTTTAATTGGCATTTGTTAACAATATACTAATTAGACACTTGGTTAAATACTTATTAATATTCACAGTAAATATTTGAACGCTTTAACTTAAGTTTGTCCAAATCTAACCCATGAGATAGATAAAGCATTTTATTTGTTTAGTTTAGAATTTACATGTACGTAGTAATTTACTTTATATTATATATTATGCTATATATACAGGTAACCCCCGTATAACATGGGAGTTACGTTCCAAAAAATTGCCGTGTTATGCGAATCCGTGTTATACAAAACAAAGAACTAGTGCGAAAAGGGGGGTTAGGTTCCAAAAATTAAAAAACGTGCTGTTAAATCCTTATTTAAAATCGGATTTATTATTCATTTTTTTTCATAGGTAAAATACTTATTTATTATTTAAGTAAACATTTTACCAGAGGATTATTCATCCTATATGATGATCTCAACATGAGCATCATCAACTGGTAACAGTTTTTGGGTGCATTCATTAATAGCAGTCGCTCTGCAACAGGAGTGCACTGCTGTTCGTAGGCATTTAGGAATGACGGCAAAAGAAAGATGGCGGCACCTGCACTATCGATAGTATCGTAATGGAGGAATCTATAATTCTAAAATGAGCTTTTAGAGGCAAAAGGAGGGTCCCAATTGTAAAATTTAACCATTAAATGGATTATTTGTTGAAAGAGCATTCAAAGTAGCCACGAAAACAACTAGAATGCTCGCGCGGAGTGATGCGGAGATATAAAAGAATGCACCCTTTACTACATTTCATGTTGTATGAGGGTTTTACCCAATTTCTGAACCATGTTAGAGTGAACCCATGCTATAAAAGCACTGTGTTATACGGGGATTTTCCCAATTCTTGAACCGTGTTAGAGTGAATCTGTGCTATAGAAGTGCCGTGTTATAAGTACAATAATTATTTACACCTGTAGTGTAAATAATTATTGATATTACAGGCACTCCTCTACTTATGAACTTAGGTTCTTGAGGTTTTGCTGTAAACTGAAATGTTTGTAAGTTGAAAACTAACCTAGAAAGTACATTTGTACACAGAATAACTATGTATTGTTAGTGTTTGATTCTTCAATGTACTTAATAGAATACATTGTGCTTCTTTACCCACTTTCTACTGCTTAGTAGCAGGTGTTTCAAATGCAGTTTTTTTCACCTAACACACTTGGTTTTATAATGTTAAGTTTAGTTTCCATGATAATAGATCCATACTCCTTGCATTTGGCTCCACTGTTAGATTTACTATTACATTTTGGATGCATTTTTGAAGCACTCATTGTAAAGGTTTATAAAATTGCAAAACTTTGATGCCACCTCATGAGTGGTGATAGAACGTCAGAATTTGTGATACAAAAAATGATGATACACATTAAATCCACATTAATTATTTACTAAAAATTTATTATTTATTACTGGCTAAAGACTGACTTCAACACCACCCCACAATGGACAAGAGAACTTCAGAATCTGTATAAAATTTAAATTTTAGATGTAGGATCAAATTGTTGTAAGTCTGAAAGTTTATAAGTAGTGGAGAGCCTCTATTTAATTTTAATAATGATTATATTAACAAATTCATTACTTACTTTTAAGGTAGAATTATTATTCCCAACAATCAAAAAGTTTCCATTTGTAGAAATAGTAATACAGTTAATTGAAAATAAATCATTCACAATTTGACCAAGCTGTTTAAACATAAAATCATTAATATTTTATAATATTTTATTATTTCAATAATAATTTATCTCACTTTTATTCCTTGATTTAATGACCAATAGAATAATTCACCATTAAATGAGCCAGAAATAATAATTTGATTATTTAAGTCAACTGCTCGAATTGAAGACGTATGACCTTTAAGGACCTAAAAAAATAATTTAAAAATTTACATTAAAAATATAATTTATATTTTTTAAATTAACATAATTCACAAAGAAAATTAAAAAAAATTTTCATTAAAAAGATTTCTGTTTATCAAATTATTAAAAACAATGATTCAATAAAATAGAAAGTTACATTTAATAAATGATTTAAATTCTGAAATATATGATAAATTCAAATTAAAATAAAATGTAAAGTATTTATTATTTTATACTTACAGCAGTTCTAGTCATTGTTATTAAATCCCATATTTTGATTTTTTTATCCCATCCTCCAGTTACAACTAATGATTTTTCTAAATGATGAGCAATGCAATTCAATGGTGATCTAAANTTGCCAATGAATGCTATGTTGGGCATTTGGGCATGCACGATCTCATAAAAGATATAAGTTTAACATGATTTCACTTAGTGATAAAATGATCTCTATAATTTTATTGTTGATTACTTTTGTTATATCATGTTTATTAGCATTAAATTTTTGATATTCCATTACCTTGCATTGAACACTTAACTACTGTATTTTTGTAACAGCAACTATTCAAATACTGCAGTTTCCCTATAATCTGACACTCATCAGTCCAACATGTTCAGAAATCCAACACACTGTACAGCAGTGCACACAAAATTTTCATGTTACCACTTGTTGCTGTATGCAACAGAGAGAGGATGATGTATATGTATATTGTCAGTCACTAGTTGAATGTTGCACATGCAGTCAGTAAAACAGTCACTATTGTGATTAATACAATAAACTAATCTGTGAACCAGACGTTTTTTACCATACAGTACATACATACAAAATCCAGTAATCCAACAATCTGTACATAATTTATGATATAAACAAATTGAGCTAATATCCTCATAATAAATAGCTAAATGAAATCATAATTGATATAATATCATATAATATGTTCAATATATGTATTCAATACAATAGAAAACAATGAGAAAATTACCAGATTTAAAACATTTTGGAATATTTTATAAAAATAAGAAGACAGCTTTTACAGGTTTCATTATATGAAAGTTTTGTCTATCATAATTCTAATGGATCTGAAGATTCTAATCAAAATGTAATTATTGCATTGAAACTTATAGTTAAATCATTTGGGTATTTATAGTTATATTTAATTGTTACTAAGTATATTCAAATGTTTTATATATCAAGAAATATATTGATGGAATAAACTTGTGCTTTTCAAAGCTTTTTATATAATTGAATATTATTTTATAACAGATTTTATGTTTATATCAATACTATAATACAAAAATTATATATATATAAATAAATATATATGTTTATTTAATTAAAAATGTAAATTTTGAACTTAAGGGTACATACTTTATATTTGTTATTGCATTTATTTCACATCCATTTAATACATTCCAAACACGTAATGTATTATCCCAACTAACAGATATTAAAAATTTTCCGCATGGACTAGAACAACAAGAACTAACACGCCGATTATGGCCTTTTAATAAATGTAATCTGTAATTATAAAAATATTAAATACTTTTAATAAATAAATATAAATACATATCTGATATAATAAAGCTTACATTGACCTCACTGACTCATTCATTAATGATATTTTGCAGTATAAGCAAATTTCTTACAAAAAAAAAAAAGGAAAATAAACAATTGAAGGAAATATTGAGCACATTACCAGAAAAATCTGAAATCTAAAAGTGTAAAATATTTAGTATGCTATGATGCATCAAAGTTAAACGCTTCATGCCTATACAAAAACAGTGTTCAAACAATTGATTTTAAGCACTTTGTCTATTTTCAAAGATACTTATTATTATTTCCATATTTTCATAGAATGACCAGCATGCCAGTCTATCTGGGGAGACTGTGAAATTAGCTATTTCTGTATGATAAAAACCAGCATGCCAATTTATCCTGGAGAATGCTAGCATGCCTGTTTAAGTGAGGTTATAGATCCCTCTCTAGAGGATGCATTATTAAAAAAAAGAAAAAATGAATGAGTTATGTCATGTAAAAAATGAATGAATTTTTATTCTAAACCTGTAAAACTTCAGTATTACATCAAAAACTATGATTATATCTTTAATTTCTTCATTTTGTCTTCTTTCTAATTAGGTAAAATACTTGTTGAATTCCAAGTGTTTTTTTTGTGTGTGTGTATTTTATTGTTATTTTATTCAAAAACATTAAAATAAACAGATTAAATTTAAGAAACTTGCTGTAATTTATCTCAGCTTACACCAATTAACATCCCTTTGTGTGAAGTTTGAGAGGAAGGTGTTAATTTTAAGGTCAGGGTAGATGGTCAGTGTAGCCCACACAGACTAACTACTACTACTACTAATATAAAATAAGCTAATAATAAGTTGTTAATTGTTTTTTTTTATTGTCTTGTAAACAAAAACTCTCTTCCTGATTTTAAGTCAGTAAAATTATAATGTTATTATTTTATTGTACTCAGAAGAATGTTTTCTTCAATGTTTAATTAACAACTAGTTTTGTTAGATCTGATGAATTTTATATTTTAGATGCAGTTTAACCAGCATGCTGGTCTCTGCCATTTTTATGTGGCATGTCAGTCATTCTGCAAAAATATGATATTAATTTTCTCCATATTAATTTAAATTACAATATCTTTTTTAATATACAAATTAAATGAGTATAAATAATATAGAAAAATATTGTTACAAAGAATTGCTTTAAATTACAAAAAAGTAGGGAAGATTGTGAATAAACATAAAACACTGCACACACACACACGCAAGATGGGAACAAAAATCTCTCCCTAGCTAAATATTTCAAAAACTAATAAGACAGTCACTGTAGATCTTTTGCCAATGAATGCTATGTTGGGCATTTGGGCATGCACTAAATGATAGTGCAAATTTCTATACCCTCTAACCATTCTATTCAAGAAGGTTGTTGTAATGTCAGTTCCTAATGATAATTATTTTTATTATTTCACTTTTTTCTTTTATTTCTTTTTGAGTTCTAATTATTTTCTAATTATTCTAATTAATCCTACTCAAATTTTTGTTTTAATTTCCATGACTCCCTGACCAACTTTGTACAAATTCCCTGACTCATGTCTCTTTCAGTATGACACATTGACAAAATAAAACAGCATTTGACTTCCTGTGTATATGTTTTGCTTCTTCAATGTTTTAATTAGTTATTTTTTCTAATTAACAGTTATATATTTTTCATAATTGCCAAATTATTAAAACTAAAAATAAAATGTTTTATTAAAAAAATTCTGTTATTAATTCTATTATTAAATGTAACCATAAATCTATATGGCTTTGAAAAAAAAACGATTACAAAAAATCAAATTATTTTGTTATGCAATCAAAATTATTAAAATGAAAAATGGTAAATAATACTATTTAAATTATTTATCATTTCGTGTACTTTGTAGATTTTTGAGAAAATTTTGTGTAAGCTTGAGAGATATTTTCAGTCATGAAAATATTCTGCATCCCTTTTCATAAGTTGTATTGCACTACATTACTTCTTTCTGCCTGCAGACTGCTACACTTAAGCATTTTGCTCAAGCATTTTGTCAGCAAAAAATCATTAAGGCAACCAATGAAGCAAATTCCCTGACTTTTCCTGACTTTTTGACAATCTTTAACAAATTCCATGACTTTCTGAACACTAATGAAAATCCCTGACTTTCCAGGTGCAAAGGAATCCTGTATTTTATGTATAAGTAGTATTGTTTATGCATGGCAACCTGTTATTTTCAAGTTTTTGAACTTATTCAACAAGCAAATAGAATGCTTGTTTTCATTTAAGCATTCTATTTGCTTGAGTTTGATTTCCTGAAGATAGCCTATCAATTACACTGAAAACATTAGACATTTTGAATAAAAAAAAATTGCTATTTTTGGTGTTGAGATGTGTAGCAAAATAGGCAACATTGTTAATTACAAAGTGGTAACACACAAAAATAACTATGTACTATTATCTTTTAGTTCATTTCAAAATATTAAGTAAGATCATGAAATAAGCTGTTAAACATGACAAATAAATGCTTCACTGCACAACACACAAAGTATAACAGTGCATCGCTATATATGGATAGTATGTTCAGTGTCACACCCAAAGGGGGCAGGGATCCTGGCATGCTCCAGAAAATTTTTTCAAAAACTTTTCCTAATTAAAATTCATTTTTTTTTATTTATATTGTGTTGTGTTTTATATTTCTAAATTACTTAAGAATTAGCAGTCACATAAACTGGGAGTTTTATTAAATTCACATTAAACATTTTTTTTTTCTGTTCAACTCAACTTTCCCAAGATTAAATTCTGAGTGTGCCACTGAGTATGTTAGCAGTGATATGGATATGCAAATAATCCAATTTATTAAATCTGACTGTTTACATTGGAAAATATCAAATACCATTAAATAAAACAACACTAATGTAATCACTATATCACTGTTGACCTAAACCTAACCACACATCCAACCATTCCACATTGTATTCATGTAATGCAATGAGGCATTTATGTCATATCTGAAAGACATTCTGTTTTTGGGATTCCACTTGATATTTCAGAATGCACTAAAAAGTAATAGTGTATAAATTTTATAATTGACAATGTTGCCCTATTTTCATAAGGAGCTAAGACTACTACAGCCCATCTAACAAAATAGCTGGAGGGAAAGAAAATTTACATCATTTCAAATTGTCTTATTAGTTCTTGAATTTATATATATATATATATATATGTGTGTGTGTGTGTGTGTGCGCATGTGCATGCATGCGAGCACTTGCATGTGCATTTGTTAAAATTCCATTCTAACTTTTCTTTGGTTTTAATTCTTTTTAAATCTTTGCTAGTATTATTATTTAAAGAATAAAGAGTCTTCAAACATCTGTCATGCAAACAGAAACAATCATCAGATTTTTCAATATTTTTTATTTAAAAATTCTGTCATTTCTAGTGTCAATATTATAAACTAAATATGATAAAAACATACCGATGGCCCTTATCAATATCCCATATACTTATTGTAGTATCAATAGAGGCAGTACAAAGTTTATTATTTCCAACAAAACACAAACAACATACTGCTTCTTTATGCCCAGTAAATGTGCGTATCACCTGAAATAAAAATCAATCATATTAAATTTCAGTTACCTTATAAATTTAAATTATATTACATAAAAAATAATGTTTTTGATGAATAATTTAGAATTTTTCAGCAATGTAACATTTTAATTTTCTAAAAAAATATTTCATAAATTTTTAAACTGAAATTAAAAATAATTAAAATCTGTAAAAGTTATTTTTCAAATTAATTTAGCTTAGATTTTAATGACTATTTAAAAATTCTTTTTTGGTTCTAGTTTCAACTTTTATCCCAACATGATATGCATATAAATTCAGTACTGTATCATAGGACATATGGATAATGTCCTCTTCACTGAAACCAAAGATATCCCTTTGAAGAGGACACAATCCATATGTCCAGTTTCAGACTTTGAGCAAGGAAAAATTGTGATAATGCAGGAAGACAAATTATCCTTCTGTAATGTCAGTATTTTGTGTTGGATGGAATGAAAACACAGTATGTGAGTATGGCATCAGTGGGTAACTTAGAAGAAGATTAGACCCACTGGTACGAGAGCTCTGGAGCTTTCCAACATCTCATGCATGTGGTAAGGAACTAAATAACCACATCATTGACCCTAGCCCAATAATGGTGATCTGTTATATGTCAATGGTTGTCTCTATATGCACTGTTTGATGCTGTTGACAGTAGCAGGGCTACCTCATTTGCTGTCCATTGCTTCAACTACCATTGATTCTTGACCACTAATATCTATTACTGCAATGATGCCAAGAATATCACCACAGCAAGATGAGTGTTATCTTATATATTTTCAAATAAATCCTAGTTTAGTTTATTGCATCAAGATGAACAGATCTATGTAAGAAGGCATTGTGGTAAAAGACTCCTGAAGGTATGCATTTTACATCATCATACAGGCCTAGTATAAGTTATGATGTGTGGTGGCATCAGGTTCTACCCTCATTCCTGCCTCATATGCATTGCTGGTACATCAACGAGATACTGAAAGCTGAGGTTGTACTTCATTTGCAGTACAACTACAGATTCCCATATTTCAAAAGGACATTATCTGACCATGGGCTATGAAGAGCTTGTATGGTGTCCCAGGGTAGAGTGAACCCCTTTTGTATTTATTTAATAAATGAAACATGTAGAATGTTTCTTTATTAATAAAAAGTAGTTTTAAAAATTTTAATTTTTGTTAATAGAAATAACATTAATTTATATGGATACAAAGACTACTACAAGTTTTTAAGTTTTCTCTGGGCCCAAGAAAATTCCCAACTTCCCTCTCTCAACAGCCCTACCTGAACAAATGTGACAAAATGTCTACAGTTTTTGGATAACCATTATGTATAAGATTTCAGCATTTCTTTCCAGCATGTATGTACAGTACATTCACTTGCTTTTGTCCTTAACTGAGAATATCAGAGACATGATGCACAGTGATTCCTCTAAAAATTCAAAAAAAATTTTGCATCATTATGCTATTTTGAATTTATATCACAACATCATAATCTTCCATCTATCTGTTATTCCATGCAAATGGCCAACATTCACAGGAACATTTCACAAAGATGAATGTGTCACATTGCCTGTTATTTTCATAATTTGTGAGGTTTGACAGAATAGAGTTAATTACATTCTATTGACACTCACAAATCTGAGAAATATTTTTACACTTTGTGTTTACTGAAAAATTTCTTTTCTATAATAGCTATTGTTTTCAAACTTTGCACTAGCAAATAGATTCTACTGTTGTTCTAACTTTTACAAGAATACATAAAATTATTATTTTTTTATCAACATGTTTGATTATAAAAATTAATATTATTCAATTACATTTTTCCACCAAAATTTCTTAAGTTAATAAAATTTTTTATCAATTTGAAACCATGTCATGTTCTATTTCTATTGTTTATCCAACACAATGTAGTGCAACTTAACAATCACTTGGCTTTCTTTCACCTTTATTCTAGTTCAGTGTTTCTCAATGGGGACAATATCGCCCCCATGTGGACGTTTTTCCATATTCAGGGGCGATTAGTAACAATTTATATTTTGGGGGCGAAAAACAATTTTCTGGGCAATATAGTAAAATATTATATTAAGAATAATTAGATATTTTATTCATTATATTTTACAATAATTAAACAAACAACATTATACAAATCACTACGCTATTCAATGCAGTACAAATTTGGCGTAAGCCTTGGCCCTCGGCATCGGAATTTTGTAGTGAATGGGGCGATACTACATAACAGTTTTATTGAAGGGGCGACGATTCGTTAGAGGTTGAGAAACACTGTTCTAGTTGATATGTGCTTACATCTCGCATTTTGGGCTAAATATGCCCCTCTTCAGTCAACTAAAATTATTAAAAACAAAAGCAAAAAATAGTTTTAACATACAATATTTAAAAAACTTCTTACACTGTTTAAATAAGATACAGACAAATTAATTAACTCACCAGCATACCTGGATATTATTGGTTTGGCAATCTGAACAAGGTTTTACATACATACAACATGCACTCGACCTACAAACATATTCTGGCATGTCTGTTTTTGCAAAATATATCCTTATTTGTGTTGTTAACTATTACATTATATTATTTCACAGATTAATCAAGGTATGTTAATGACAGATAGGTGAAATAATATAATGTAATAGTTAACAACACAAATAACGGTATATTTTGCAAAAACAGACATGCCAGAATATGTATGTAGGTCGAGTGTTTGATGTATTGTTGTATGTACGTAAAACCTTGTTCAGATTGCCAAACCATTAATATCCAGGTATGCTGATGAGTTAATTAATTTGTCTGTATCTTTTTTAAACAGTGTAAGAGGTTTTTTAAAGTATTGTATGTTAAAACTATTTTTTGTTTTTGTTTTTATTAATTTTAGTTGACTGAAAAGGGGTGTATTTAGCTCAAAACACAAGATGTAAGTGCGTATCAACTAGAATAAAGGTGAAAGAAAGCCAAGTGATCGTTAAGTTGCACTACATCGTGCTGGATAAACAAGAATAAAATTTTATGAAATGTATTTAAAGATATCTGGGAATCTATCAGCAAAAATAAATTTTTGATTGCTTTCTTATAATTTTTACAAATTGCATTTAAATCATACTTAGTCAATCAGAAAATTGTACTCAAAGAATTTGTTTTACATAAATATATGCAGTGGACATCTACAATATAAGTGACAAATTGTAACATAAATTTATTTCTGTTGATATCAATAAGAATGAAATTTATAAAAGTTATAAGGCAAAATTGAGACAATGTCCTATGTGCCAGGTTATAGACTGCCTGGCATATACAGTACTTTATGCCAGGGAAAGTAGTCTTCTTTGCATATTTCACATATATTCCAGAAAGTACTTGTATACTTGCAATTTTATGACTAACAAAAATGAAACTGAAACTTTGTTTTTCATTTTCTCTTGTTTTCTTTTTTTTTTCTTTTTTTTACAAAATATTTTGATTTTATTCTTTAGGAAGCTTTGCAATATTATCATATAATCTTGTAGCAGGTTAATATTTTGGTGCTAATTAGTAGTTTTTATTTATACTGGATGAAACTGCTAATGTTTAGTTTTTCACTACAGTGGAATCCTGTTTATCTGGATTATAAAACATAATCCCTGTCTCAGAAGTATGAAAGATAGAAATAGGAAAACCTATAAATGTAAAAAAGCAAAGAATTCCTAAGTATATTCTTGCCTGAGTGTAGCATTGCAGCTTACAAGAATAGGCTTGTTTTCTATGAATCAGCAAATGATGTTCATTATTATGCATTCTGTGGGAGTATTCTTTGAGTTTACTTAATATCTTGTTGAGTCTCTTCTAATCTTTTAAAATTTTCAGTTATAAAAAATTGCTACTTTCTTGTTGAATAAAAATGTTGTGCTTCTCACAACAGTCAATGTGTTAATAAATTTATCATTTGTAACCTCACAAGTTATTAGTCACTCAACACCCATTGCTATTATTGTTTTGATGAGTTTAAGTCACCTTCAATCTTTTATGAAGTAAATACCAAATCTGAAAATGACATCTAAAAGAAATAGTGGTTGTTATGATGGAAAAGAAATTAAGAACACAAAAGTAAATATATATATACTGTGTTATTTACAACATTAATGAATTTTCTGGATTATCAAATATTTGGTCATCTGGATTGGGCTGGGTCCCATTTGAGCTGGATAAACAGGGTTCCACTGTACTATAAAAAGATTAAGATGAATCTATAAATCACATAATGTTTTAAAATACTTGCATATGAATAACTTGTTTGGTTTATTGCATCTATTTCAGATAGGTACAAAAGCCTCTAGAATAAATCTAATTGACTGGAAAATTATATTTCCAATGGAAATCATATTATAAGGTTTTTCTTATTTATATCTGATTAAAGCCAANTTATGTCTCTGGCAATTAGGGCATTCTCTTATAACCTCCTCCACTACCCGTTTTACATTTTTTATGAAGTAACTCCTCTCAATAATTTTTAAGGTCTTCATCACTCCCCAATGCCCCATAAGCTGGTTTTCGTGGATCGCCTTAACAAGTTTCTTAGCTAGATTCTCCCCTACACACACTCTATTAACACAACTATTCCTAGCTTTCCAATAAAAGCTTTTATATAAACAGTTGTTTACTAAGGTATAACCTTGAAAATTATTTCCCGAATTACTTCCACGGGAAATGTCTCTTTTGATGGGCCCGAACAGGCTATCACCATCTTGCAATTCAATTATTTCTCCTTCCATGGGGATCCTTGTGGTACTATAATCGATTTCAAATTGATTCACCCCATTGATGCTACGTGAGAGGAAATTTGCAACCTTGTTATCAGCACCCCTTACATGGCTGACCTCGATATCATAGTCAGCCAGTTCCATCACCCATCTTGTAAGACGTCGACTGCCGTTATTGATAGTTCTCAAAAATCTCAAGTGTTTATGGTCAGACAGGATTATGGTTCTTCTCCCCAAAATGAGATGCTTAAAGTGTCTCAGAGATAACAAAATCACTAGGCATTCCTTCTCTATTGTTGAGTAATTGCACTCAGCCCCCTTGAACTTCCTACTGTAAAAACCAATTGGGACGAGGCTATCACCAACCATTTGTTCTAAAACAGCTGCTGCAGCTTGGTCTGAAGCGTCAGTGTGGAGGAAGAAATCCTTATTGAAGTCAGGGTGGGCCAATACTGGGGGATTTGCTATGGCCTGCCTTAACGTATCCCAACTCTCTTGACAACGTGCATCCCAACAGAATCTTTTTCCCTTCTTGGTTAGCTCAGTGAGAGGGGACGCTATTTCAGAAAATGACGGAATGAAAGTGCGGAAGAATCCTACCATTCCCAGATAACTACGTACTTCCTTGATGTTAGTGGGTGGTCTAATTTTTTTTATCGCACTCACATTTTCAGGGTCGGGCCTAATACCTTCCGCGTCGATAATATGTCCTAAGTATCTAACCTTCTTAGCTAAGAGCTGGCACTTTTTTGGATTCAATCGTAAACCTTCATCCCTTAGGGTGACGATTACTTCTTCCAGTAATTTCAAATGATCATCGAGATTTCTTGAAAACAATACAATGTCATCTTGGAACACGTGGCAACTACACCCGATAAACCTTGCAAGCACCTTCGTCATCATATACTGAAAAAAACGACCACTGTTCTTACCTCCTTGAGGCATCCTGCATAACTGATATTTCCCCCATGGCGTGGAAAATGCAAATATATGTCTTACTTTTGGATCAAGAGGGACTTGGAAATAGCCAGCTTTCAAATCAAGGACAGAGAAGTAGCGATTTCCTTCAAGTTGAGCCAAAATATCGTCAATTCTTGCCATGGGGAAAATTTGTGGCTCGGTTATTTTGTTGACCTTGCGCAGGTCTAAAGTGAGCCTGATCTCACCAGAGTCCTTGGGTACCACATGTATAGGGGAGTTCCAGGATGACACACTTTCCTCACAAATTCCAGCTTCAATGAGTTCACTAACCTTACGCTTAAGCGCTGGCAAGTAACTATAAGGAATACGATATTGTCTGGTGTTAATAGGCTGATCAGAGATTAGTTTTACGCTGTGAACATAGTTACGTGAGCCAGAGACGTTCCTTATAGACTTAGCAACTACAGTGGGGTATTTCTTCAGCACACTTAATACGCCTTCCTTAACACACTTCTCAAGATGGTCCAGGTCCCATATATGTTCACCATCGTCTGCCCCTTTATTTATGCTTGTATTAAAGTCGCGATTTATGTCTAATCGCCCAGAACCAATTCCAATTTGTATTTGCGTCAGCAAGGTTGGATAACTGGTAATAATGTCCATCCCTATAATTAACTCATAAGTAGTTCCCGCAGAAAATTTCATTCTGGGAATTTCTAATTCTGGCATATCATCATTTATTGTAACTAACATTGACTCATTACTACAGATGACTGTCCCTGATATACCGCTTATGAACGCTTCCCTCTCAATTACAGAGTTCTCATTCTTAGCCTTTACCCAGTCCACCAACTCATCTCTTGCTACAGACCTTTCGGCACCACTGTCGAGTAACCCTTTCATTTCCCGTCCCAATATGCTTATTGTCACAACAGGGAGCCCCCGTTCCGTAAGGCTCACATTGTTAGTCAGAGTCATAATCACACTACGGCCATTTGCCTGACCTTCCAAACGACCGTTTTTTAGTTTAAAGGTCTTTGCCTTGTGCAAAATTTTGCCAAGTGACCTACATTCCCGCAAATGAAACATCTTCTCCTCTCAACCCGGTCGTTTCTCTGACTCTGGCTCTCCTTAACTAGCTCACACATCGATTTGAACGACTCACTTAGTTGGTCGACCTTCTGTTCCAGTTTGTCTAACTTAGATTTCTGTTCGACCTGGCTAGGTTCCTGGTTTACAGTTACACCCACTTCACTGACGAGGCTTCGCTTACTACAAACGAGCTCTACCTCTTCCTCAGCCTCGGCTAACTCAATTGCTTCCTCTCAAGTTTGTGGGTGCCTCTGCATAACCGATTTCCTTAATTCGGGCAATAACCCTTTTATAAAACTCTCCTTAACCACATCATCCTGAAGTAAATCCAATTTGGTGTTGCGGATTGCAGCCTTCGAAAATAGGGAATTCACACGGATTGCATAATTACATACCATTTCTTCACATTTTTGGGCTACGTTTAATAATAGGCTAAGGTGATTCTGAGCCCTTTCTTTTCGACTAAAACATTTTATGAGGGCTCCCTTAAAGCGGGAATAGTCATTCACTCCCTGTTCCTTCAAGTCGAAGAAGATTGACAATGGCTCACCCTTTAAGCGAGCCTGTAATACGGAGATTTTTACCGAATCTTCCCATTTCGCCAGTTCGGCCACGTTCTCCAGAGTCATAAAAAATCTATGAATCTCAAGGGCATCCGTAGATACATTGGCGAAATAGGGGATCATCCCCATGAAGCCGGTGATAATGGGTACGCTCCCGGACTCTGTCGTGGTGGCCATATTAGATCCGCTCGAGGCTTGTTCTTCCATTACAATTAAGTACTAATTATAATTACACAATTACACTAACAAACAATTCTCCAATGGCGAATAACTATCACGTACAGTACACGTGCGCTATGAACCTCAGTAACAGTGCGTGTCTTCACANACTAAATTTTTTCAAAATTTTTTAAAGTTTTTAAATCACAGCCTTCATATCTTTTATCTAAAACTAGATCAGAGCTGTCTAGCAAAGATAATAAACACACTCAAATATCTTACATACTCTTATAAAATTCTAGTACAAATAATAATGGCATTACATTTACACAGTCCTTTTAATCCTAAAGTTATGTAAATCCAATTCTCTCTCCCTGTTTATCAGCTAAATCCCATCGACCTATTACATATTGGTTTTATCTAAAAGGCACTTCCATGCTGATGACAAGTTTTCTAAATCTTTACAATTAATAATCATGCTTTCTAAACTCTTCATAGATCCACAATTCTCTGAATATTCTATATTCTCCCTATCTCTAATTTCTTTAAAATTCTGGCTTCACTCCAATCTATTGTAGTACCGTAGCGTACCGAAATACGTTAGCGTGGAGATTAAGAATAGAAAAGACAGCACAAATTGACAAAACAATGAACATATTTAATTTCACGAACATACACATCTGAGGTTCACACACGATTTTTGTTTCGTGATGGGGCTCTCGTCACCCCTTTGATCAGTTTCAAGTTAAACTCCAATTTTTATTTGAACTAATCTTCAATTTTTGAAATATAACTATATTTTCTGCTTTATTATCTCTAATGATGTAGAAATTACATCTTTTATGCCACTTCAACATGTTGTTTGACATTGATATATTGTATGACATTGCTNCCGAAATACGTTAGCGTGGAGATTAAGAATAGAAAAGACAGCACAAATTGACAAAACAATGAACATATTTAATTTCACGAACATACACATCTGAGGTTCACACACGATTTTTGTTTCGTGATGGGGCTCTCGTCACCCCTTTGATCCGGACACAAGAATATGACGGAGTGATCTAACATAAAATCCCGATGCGACAATTAGGAATCGCTGCAATCACACATGAATTGCCCGACGCGACAATTAGGCTTAATTCTTTATAACTTGATAATTGGACTGTTCTTACATGGCAGATGATCTTGATACATGCTGAAAGTCTCTCCTTTAGTACACGATTGTCCTCCTTCCACGTGGTCCTTTCTTCTTTGTTCTTCACCTTCCTTCCTCTGCCAACGACCCGACACGAACCCAGGTGAAACGAAGAAAAAAGTCCGCTAAGCACGTGGTCTTTCCTTTTTATAACCCGCGCCATGTCCTGACGAGGGAACATATGTCATGGCAGGGGAGCCAATCACAGGCTCGCACTACCACACCTCAAGAAGTGGTACGAACTTTACAAAAACAGTCTACAATTACCAATGCGCGACAAAATACAGTATATAGATACACATATATTTAATGATGACATACAAACATTTAGTGGAAAACACTACACTATCTTAACATATTACTTAAATCTCTCTTGATTCAAGTAAATTAAGCACAGATTTATACACCTACAACATTAAAATGATTAAAATAAAAATATGTTGTGTGTGAGCAGTTTTGTTTTTTATACAGTGATAAAACCTTTCAAACTTGCAATTTCTAAAAGATCATTACAAAATCAAACAGATAAAAATTTTGGTTACTTTAGCAACAAACACAAAATAACATATTTTATAAACTTTTTGTAATAAACTCAGCATCATGATAATTCTTTCTGTGTTCTTTCAAACTAATCTTTAGCATTCACATGGTAGATGCCATATACAGCATCTATTTTCCTTTGTACATCAGAACCATATAACTCCTTTTCTAATTTGTTTTCTCTCTCATCATCATTCCTCAAAAGATCAAAAGAATACACTTCCTCTGATATATGATTCTCTTTTTTTTTTTTAGCCCCCTCCAATCAGCTATATAATGTAAAAGTAACTACCTATCATTTTTTCTATAAGTTCTCTTTGGCCTCCTTTCCTCAATCTTCAATACCAGTCTCCCAAATTCTCTCTTTCCTATGTTGCAAAGCTAAATCTTTTAAAAATTGCAATCCTTCATCTAAATTTAAATATTTAAATTCTATGCTATGTAAACTTTTAAAACTTTTCTTATTGTAAATATTAATCTTAGACATAGCTTTACTCTTTCTCATCCAGACATCAAAAAGTACATTCTTCTTATTTTTTCTTCAAATTTAAAACTATATTCTGTCTAGGAAAATCTCAATAAATACATCTATTTTATTCGTCTCTTTCCATATCACTAATAAATCATTCACATATCTACCAATAAATTTTATATTAACAGTTAATAGTTTTGGGATAGGTTTATCTCCAAATCCAGTCCATGATTCTCTTTTCAACTTCTCTATCAACCATTTCAGCAATGATCCAAGTTCAGCAATTTATTGCAGAACTTACTGAAATCATTCTTTTCACCTAAAGGCATTTCAAATAAAATAATTTTTCTTTTAGAAAGAGAGAGAGAGTAAAGCAGTAGTTATTATGCATAATAACTACTGCTTTACAGAATATAGTTAATTTATACTGTGTACTTTGAAGTGCAATATCTTAAGCACATAATAATGAAGTAATGCACTATCTAACAGTTATAATTTCAGAATGTGCTGATAATTGTATAATAAATAAAATATAAAAATTGAAATGTATGTGGGAAATGATCAAAATTCTAACTTTGAAATACAGATACTTTTTAATTTTTTGAATAAATGAGATAAATGCAGAAACAAAATTCAGAGCCACAACTTATTCTAAAACTACTTTTGTCTAACAAATAAATTACATTTATCTGTTACCAGAAAATCTGTAAGTCTAATAATCCTTAGAAATATTAAATTATTTTGTATAAATGAAGGGCTCAAGGAAAGAATGATCAAAGTTCACTTTTACTAAAAACTGGCAATTTTAATTTAAAAATTTGACAACTCTCCAAGCTGAAAGTAGACATAGCAATGAAATTTTTCACATTGTAATAAATGATTTAAACCTTCCTAAGCCGAAAACCTGGATGAAAGTCATACAATAAAAAAAAGTACTTATTCAACTCTTAATCATCATGAACATCATGAGATTGCAGCAAATTGTCATAGTATTCTTTGTGTTCAGCTGGCATAAATTGCTTTAAACCTTGCAAATTGATCCATTTTGCCAAGAAATACTTTCATCCAGCCTTATGGCACATAAACAGTTGAGTTTTGGTTTACTAAAATGAAATCCTTATTGCATTCCACGTAAATATGCCCTCTTATGAGAAATGTGACATATACTTTCCAGTCAATTTGACCTTGTTACATAATAATGCAATGCCCTCAACACTGTATAATTTCTATTTTGCCCTCTGAAAGCATCACAAAAAAATTACAAATTTTTTGTTATTGTCAGATTGTTGTTGGAAAAACTGTTGGTGCTTACATGTGTGAGTCAATTTGGTTTGTTAGGGAAATCTAGCTTAGACAAAACAATTTTCCTCTCCCTTTGTCTCACCCCTGCAAGTTTATGACTTGCCATTATGTGTGGAACTTCGCCTGCTAGATGTATGTCTTATTCATGTATTAGTTTTTAGATCAAAAGAAGTTGTCTCAATTATAAATGTTCATTGTCTATTCATCTCTTTAATGACTCCTAAATTTTAACAAAAACAATCATATAGATTTTGATTGTTCTTTCAACAACCACATTTTCTTTACATTGCTCTGGAGAGTATTACAATTGTTTTTTCACTAAACTGACTTCACCATTGCATTCTATACTTTTTTATTTACAAAATGACAGATTCAATTTACAAGTGCATAAAAGTGGACTTTGTTCTTTCCCTGAATCCTTCATATGCTCTTCGTAGAAAAACGAATATTTTACATTTATTGCTTTTCATGACTTTGATCAGTAAGAAATGATTTTAATTAATTAAAAAACATTAAAATAAGTTATTATTATGATACATACAAAATGATTTGCTAAATCTCTTAAAACAACTAATACAATTGAACCTTGTTAACATGAATAGTCATAATAACCAAAAAATTATTTGTATTGAAAATAATTTGTGTTATACCCATTGTTTGCATAAAATTTATAATAAAAATAATTAAAATATGTATTTGGTTGCATCAGAACTTATTGGCATTATTAACAAAACACAAACCCCTATATAAACATTGAATTGCTAATAGTTATTTCTATTTCTTCATTATTTCTCACTCACATATGTTTTCAGGCAAATGCAAAGTGGTTACTTGCATAAGCAGCTTCAATTTTTTTCAGATCTTTAACTGTCATAATGTACTGTACTTTTTGCAATCCTGTATTTTATGCCATTTCTGCTTTTTTTCTCTAACTTACCATCATCCACTTTTTAAAATTTTTAATTTTTTTCTAAAGACAAGCCATGATGAATATTAAGATTTATGTTATTTTGTAGTAGAAATAAACTAAGCACTGCAATAGACATAAATTATGTAAGTTAAAGTTATATTGTAACCTGTGTCATCAGATAATTTTTAAAAAAATTTCAAACACTTTTTAAAAATAGCAGAATCATCTGAAATATAACCAAATATCATGAAGAGTTAGGCAAAACAAAGTTATTTGCCAAAATTTTGCCAAAACAAATTTGCCAAAATGCATAAGATGTCTATGCAAAATGATAAGACAAGTTGCAAGGTCAGTTAAGAGTAACATGATTTTTTATGCAATTTGGCTACCATAGTCATAATCACAAGATTACATATAATCACATAGTCATAATCACAAGATTAGTTATAAATTAGTTTATGATGATCTCTTTTCTACAAGTAAAAAGGTTCATGTGTGTTTGGATATGGTCAAGGACCACATCCAAATACTCACCACCAATCTTAGTAGTTTTTTCCTTTAATTCATATTGGTGCACTTTTAAACAATGCAAACATGAAATCTGAAAGACTTCCTTTATTGAAATCTTCAACTTGCATATACAATAATTGAGAAATTAAAAAAAAGTTTTAGTTTGTATTTAGGGAAGGAATTTTCCTGTGGGAGACAATAATCAATTCATTTTAAATGGAATTTCATGTTAAATGTATTTGTATTAAATAATTAAAAGTATTGTGATCTGTATGGAATTTGACAGAGGGACTGAAAACAGTTTACAGTGAAAAAAGTTTGCTCTAAGTAGTGATATGTTCATGTAATGAGGTTCAAGTGTATACCCATTCATTCCATTTAAATTCAGATAAACTGTAATCATTTTTTAAAAAATCTTATAAATAAAATATTACAGTTTTATTCAGAAAAAAACACATGTAGAAAAAAATTGGAAACAAATATACCAAGAACACTACACCTTACACACTTTTCCAGCACTAGTTTAATCAAAAGAAACGTTTTTGACCCTATTCAGGGGTCTGCCTCTGGTTAAAAAACGTATTAAATTACAAATTAAAGAAAATAATGAGTTCTAATGCAGAACTATAACTGCTTATTGTTAAATTTACAAAATTCAAAAACAAACAATTTATGTATTTTAAAAATATTAAAATGAATACGTAAATTAAAAAAATAAAATAAATTAGATATATTATTAACAAACATTAAGTCTAGCCTATGTCGTTCTCTTGCCTCATCAGATAATTAACTAGAGACTGCCATGCTTTGGATAACATTTCCTTCTCCTTGAAATTAATGCATTCGCCCTTTCTAGAGGCCTGGAAAATTTCAAACACTCCCATTGATCGTAACTTGTTAATATCAAACACCTTTTGTAATAACTTAGCTGGGTCCCAACATGCTGACACTCCCGGCTCACTCATAAATTGGGCAAGCACTATGGATCAACTATTTGTATGAATATCGTATTTATGTTCCCTGAGTCTTTTGGTTAACAATCTTTTAGTGGCACCTATGTATGTTAACTTTCAACCAAATCTATCTTCCCACATTGGGATAGTGCAGTGTTTCTCAATGGGGGTGATATTGCCCCCATGTGGGTGTTTTTCCATGTTCAGGGGGCAATTAGTAACAAGTTATATTTGGGGGGCAAAAAACAATTTTCTTGGTGATATAGTAAAACATTATATTAAGAATAATTAGATATTTTATTCGTTATATCGTACAATAATTAAACAAATAACATTATACTAGTCACTAGTCTATTCAATGCAGTACGAATTTGGTATTAGTCTTGTCCCTCGGCATCGGAATTTTGTAGTGAAGGGGGCGATACTACGTAACAGTCTTTTGAAGGAGGTGACGATTCGTTAGAGGTTGAGAAACACTGGGATAGTGTATACTCTGGGAGATAACTTTCTATCTATAGAATCTTTACCATTAGCTAATAGCGTAAATATAGTTGGATTACATTTATAAGCTATTCTAGCAATCATATGTTTTGTTAATGTTTTATATATGTAGAAGTCAGCCTTGGGTCACAGACCACTACTATAAATTTCAGAGGTAAAACCTCAGAACACTGTGTATCCTTATTAAGCCATGATACATTAATGTTGTCCTTCATGTTTTTAGCTAACCTTGCAATCAGATTTTTGCTGTAGCCATGAGCTTCCACTAATTTTTTAATCTGACCTATCTTTTTCATCGTGTCCATAACATTAGATTTATTTATCCAATTAATTTGTAAGTTTTTTTAACCTGAGGCAGACCTCTGAAAGGGGTCAAAAAGTTTGTTTAATTAAACTACTGCTGGAAAAGTGTAAGGTGTAGTGTTATTGGTATTGTTTTATTTGAAATCATGCTGAAATTTAATTAAATTGAGATTCAATAAAAACTTAATAAAATAAAATAAAAAACAATAAAAACTAAAGCATACCTGTTTTAAGTTTGATAATGTTAAATAACATGCTGTTGGTATTTTAGGTTTTGTTAGCCATCTTATCACATTAGAATGAGTGTATCCAGCAGCTTCTTTAAATACTGATGAAGTTATTTGTTCATTCAGTGCTTGCTGATATATTAAACCAGGATACCTGAAACAGATGATATTATTATAAAACAATTTTCAAAATATCATACTCAAAAAGAAATAATAACTATTTTAAAATAAAAATATGTAATTTATTATTATTACTAATTCAAAAATATTTGTTTTAAATACTTTTAAAAAATCAACTCAAGATATCAAAACTTGTGTAACTCATTGCATAATAATATTGAAATATTATGATTATTCTGAAAGAATTTTTTACTAAATTAATTCAAAATCTAAATTTAGCATTACATTCAATAAAATTAATATTTATTAAGTTTAATACGAAATAACAGATAGTAGTTCATTAAATACTCAATTAATTTTCTATCATTAATTTTGAATTCTAATGAAATAATCTTGATTCATATATTATTATTTAAATTTAAAGTAATAAACTTTACATACCTTTGTAAAATATGTAAATTTTGTGAATAAAAAGAATGAAAATCTTCAAGTTTTTCCAAATAAACGTTTTTTGTTAACTTGTTGCTTTTTAGCATTTCATAATAATCAAGAATTTCTAAACTAATGCCAGCTTTAATAGCAGTTTTTAGAAATTCAATGGTACATAAAAGAGATGATAACTCATTAAATTGCTCGGCTGCATTTAGATGATATAATAAAAGATGTAAGCATCGTGAAGAAACATTATCCCATTTACATACATATTTCACTTCATTATAAAAATAAGCTACAATACAAAAAAATTGAAAATGTACAAATTAATTGTTTTTGTACTTTTTAAAAATATAAAAACAAGCAGTCAAAATACAAATGTATGAATTACCATAATTTAAATGCTAATTTTTTTAATATAATAATTATAAAGCAAATTTATTAAATTATGAAAATTACATTAGTCATGAGCAATCTGTGGCATGAGAGATATCAATATGTGGCCCTAGGGTTTTGGTAATGTAATTTTGTTTTCCTGTTTTCTGCTTCATGTCATTATACAACTCTAAGTAACATGATATTCATGATGAAAAACATTCGAACTAATCTTGACCAGTAAAAAATGAGAATAAGCTATACAGTCAACCCCCCTATAACACGGGTTCCTATAGTTCGGATTCCTATACGACGGCAAAAAAATTGCGACGGTATCTGTACAAACAAGGTAAAAAAACTCCTATAATTCGGTAAAACGTCATCGGGCAGCCGAACTACTTTCCGCCATCCAGTGCCACGCTACGGAGAGTTTAGGTGGGTAAATTGAGTTTACTATCGTCTGTACAGTATTATATATAAATTATATATAAATTAGGTACTGTACATATAATTATATATTAACTTAATTTATTCTAACTTTATTATAATTATACATATACTTTCCACCGTCCAGCGCCACACTACGGAGAGTTTAGGCTAGTAAGTTGAGTTTACTATCGTCTGTACAGTATGTAAATTAGATACCATAAGTCTAATACAGCACTAATTTTATACATTTCTTGTGAAAGAAACATTTTCTTATTCAACGGCCATAAAAATGATTTATATTAATGATGTCTCCAAAGTTCAATGAAGTTTTCGCAGAAAAATAACTTATCAGAAATTGTGGCCGCCATTTGGTGCGCTGCTCTGCGATGAAAACAAGCTTAAGCAATGGCGACGTCAAACGGTGCACACTCAGTAAGTAATCCTATTTTTATTTATAGCATAGTTTATACGGATTATTCCCAAAAATTATATGTATTTTGGAAATGTTGAATCGAGTTAGTCTAGGAATCGATTAATTTTATGGAAGAAAACCTTTCAAACAGCCGTAGTCCATAAACTTCACACGTGTCGGGCTGTGATTGGCAAGATCTCCTAAAACATCAATTTCATAAAAAACGGAACGTATCTACCATCTTATAGGGGGGTTGACTGTATATTACTAGTTTGCATATCATTAGCATACTGTATATTATTTTAGTACTTAACATACTGGCAATCATGGAGTATATTGGTTTAAACCTGCTGAGGTTTAAAGTGTACAACTCCATAAGAAAAAAATGCATGCAGACTCTGGAAGCCTTTAAAGTTCACTTGTGACTCACATCCCAAAAACATTGTTCATCATTGAATTACACATTAATTTGACAAATTGTATGAATTAATTAAATTTGTTTTGCATGTTATTGATTGCACACTTGATATATGATATGCAATATTTTATATGACATCACTGATATACCCTTAACAGCACAAGTAATTTTTCATTTTCATATTTACCTGAATAATATGGTGTTCTATCTTAATTTTGATTTAAGTTTAAAGTTAAATAAATATATTTTTCAAAAAAGGTTAAAAAAATTTAAGATATGAATATATTTTTATTTACATTTTTATTAAATCTGTATTTTATAATATATCACTACAAAGTATTAAAGTGCTAAAAAAGGCATTCAAAAATGAATGTGCTTCTTACAGAAAAACCATCATAAAACCTATAGAAATGAAATAATTGTGATTAACTTTCACATATCAATTTGATTATTTAACAAATCAATACAGTAGAGTCCTGGAAACTCGACTCTCAATAACTTGACATTCTGTAAAACTCATCATGTCATTCAAAAAAAAAAAAAACACACAAACGTGAATCTAATTTTCATTCTATAACTTAATACTAGGATCAAATAAGTTATCATTTTCCACTGACAACACTTGATAACATCATCAATTCCATGTTAACAAAGAATATAACTCTTTTTCCAAGGTGCCACTGCAAAATGCCACAATGCAATGTTACTAACTTGAAAGTAGCAACTGAATAGCCAATATATTTTCTTTTTTAGTTAAAGTTTAACTACAAATAGAAACAATCACAATTGGTATGTAATTAATACATATAAAAATATGCACATATAATACCTTTACAAAAATTCTGCTATTTAGACAAGCATCATTGCTTGTCTAAAACTCATCATTTTCAATAACTTGTCACCTGCTCAGTCCATGTTATGTCAAGTTTGTGGGGCTCCTCTATAATAAATCTTATCATTATTTTTTCTGGATTTGGACTTTTTGCTGTCTAATACTTTTTAGTACAAATGCCATAATACAGATAGCAACTCTAATTCCATGCTTCTCTGCATATGAATAACTATTTATGAAGACCAGCATCATTTTTTAAATTACATAAATAAAATTACTTTCTTCAGAAAACTAAAAATTTATTTATTATAAAAAAAAACATTTTTATTATTTTAAGTCATTTTCAGCTTATTTTTATGTGTTAATTCTATTTTTAAACACTTATGATTTTAAGATGACATTTCACTTATGAAGATGACCTAAAATAGGTTGAAAATGTTTCTTTTGTAAAAAGTAAATTTGACCTCCTAAAAAAAAGCAGTTTCATTTACAGTGGTGGCTTGTGGCTATCCAATCTAGTAGTAGTGAGTAACAACTATTATTTAAGATATATCATTTATGAAATATTTTTTAAAAATTTAATTAAAATAAATTAATTTGATTTGAAATTTTTATCTTTATTTTTATTAATATTTACAAGTCATGAAATACTCTGTATCTCTGTTCTGACCCAATATCTAATTTCTGCCCTGAAGTCACACTGTTTATGAAGGCACTGCTAAACAGTGCAATAATGTCACAAACAATTCATCATATCACGAGATGCTGCAATCAAAGCAGGACTGGTCTCTGATGGGGAATAGCACTACAATGTTTAACATTGCATTTTGTATACTGTTTTGATCAACACTGGTTTTGATTTAAAAAAAAAATTAATTTTAATCATGTATAAGTCACTAAACAACCTAATATCCAGCAGAGAAGTTTGGAGGTGTTAACGTTTTTGCAATGTTGCCTCTTTCTCCACAGTGTGAAAGTCCTTCTTTAAACTATAAATCGTACCCCTATTTTCTCTCATCTCACGTGTATGGCAATTCTCTGTTGTTTCAGCAGCTGGAGGATTAGTTTGCCTGATAATGGCTGTTCAACACAGGCAAAAATGTTAGCACCTTCAAACTTCTCTGCAAAATATTAGATTTTTTAGTGGCTTTCTTTCAAGTATACACAGTTTTGAGTGGTAATATTTTAATTTTTATAATTACCTTGTAATAAAAACAGAGACATTATCTTGTGATTTTACTTTTCTTTACAAGCCATTACCATTTATTTATATAATAACTATTAGTTTTAATACTCATCATAATGTTGGATTGAAGACATTTTGAATATTAAATAGCATGGTAAAACCATGTTAAGTCAAAGCTCAAGGGGTAAAAGTTCCATATCATAAAACAAACATATAAGTTTGAAAATATTCAAAAAATTCAAAAATGATCACACATAAATAAAATAAAATAAAAGAATACATTAAAAAATATGTGAAAAAAAACCGATAAATACAAAATAAAAACGTTTTGTTTTGTATTTATCAATTTAATTTTTATATGTTCCTTTATTTTATTTAATTTTATTTGTGTGTGATCATTTTTGAATTTTTTGGGTAAAAGTTCCAATTTTGAGTTTCCAGTTAATGAATTTAATACCCAATTTTCTCAAATATTTCTATGGCCATAAATTTTCCATTATCAAGCTGTTTTTCTCAGAAATATTTTCACAGAATGATTACAAAATTGTATGCAGTTTATAGCACTTTTGCATGCATTGTCAAGATACCCCCTTTTGTTCCTATCAGAATGCTGGTAACATACAGTAACAGTAAAAAAAATGTAAACACAAGGATGTAATAGTGTGAAGTGTTTATAATGGAATCCTAGTGTTTGTTTATCTTAAATTTCACATGGAATATAAGAGAAATTGAAAATCAAAGGGTAGAGAGTACATAGGAAAATAGGTTTGACTATATTACCAACAATTTTGACTTAATGAGCATTTTATGAAAAATTGTATATACTGTGCCTGTAGACGGCTTCAAGTTGACTTAGTGAGGTTTTACATTACCAAAAACACAATATTGTTGATGTATAACACATCACATGGTCTGCTTGCAATGATTATTGTTTTTGAAAGCAAATATACTTTAGTTTGAATAGCTAAAGTCAAAACAGGTAAGAAAAGTGTCTTAGAACTGAGGAAGCACAATATATAAAAAACTATTTTATCTAACAGTTCACTCTAATTTCAGCACCAGAGTAAAATCCTGACTTCCCTAAACTTGTTACCGGCACACAATGCATATAAGATATATATAGCAGGTGACAAACATTTTCAAACTATCTCACAGTTCTTCCTCAGGTCAACTAGCTTAGGAATGCTTCTGAACAGAGTGTGTGGATTTCAACAGGATTGAATGTCATTTTGATGGCATGCAGCCAAGTAGCTGCATGTGTCAACCGGAAGAAGGAGCTAAATCTGTTGCTGGCCTGCAGTCCCTATTAGATGCCAACCCATGGCTACCTCCACCAACTCACGACTGCACATGTCAAGCAAGACTGACTTTGTTGAAATGACATTCGATCCCGTCGAATTCCACATGCTCCATTTGGAAGCATTCCTAAGCTAGTTGACCTAAGGAGAACTGTGAGATAGTTCGAAAACATTTGTCACCCGTTGTATATATCTTATATGCATTGCACACTGGTAACAGGTTTAGGGAAGTCAGGATTCTCTAACAGTCTTTTATTCTTTGAATATTTGATTTTTCCAAAAATTCATTATCAAACAACTAACATAAGGTAGTTTAAAAATGATAAAAATCAAATGTGTCAGAATGATAAATTATGCATATTTATTCAAATATAATATATGAAAATATTCATGCACTTATTTAACTGGAAGAGTCCAATAAAGTAAACCACTATTTAATACTGAAACCCATTACATTGTCAATTTTTCTTACATTGTCAAAAGTGTAGAAAAAGTCAGTAGTTCATGCATCATTTCTATATTTTTTATAATTGATTTTATTTCTGAATTCAAATTTTTAAATTTATTAAAACATATTTTTATCATTTATCCTTTCTATTTTATTTTATTATTTATTTAATTTTATCTGTAAATATCTATTTAATTGAATAAGTTGTGCAGGTGATCATTTATTTGTTGGTTTTAACCTCTTTTAAAAAAATCCTCCTTTTCTTAAATCCTAAAAGTAAAGCTTCGTATTTCTGTTTTTGATAACCTTCTGCTTATATAATGCAATTTCAAAAAATTTTTTATCATACTTGACAAATTATTATATGCAGAAGTTATGATAAAGTTAATACAGTACTTGCTTGTTTGTTAAGAGTATACAATATAACCTTTAAAAGTATAAAAATATTAATTATTAAGATAAAAATATTTCTTACCTGCTAATAATTTATGATATGCCAATAAATTTTTTCCCACATTATAGTGATCAATTATAGCTTTAATAAAATCTGCATGTTTTATATTTAGAGTATGTTTCCTAATAACAAGCAAAAAGAATTTTATTAAATTTGAATTTCTTTTATACAAAACATCAGTCATTTAAAAATAAATAAAAATTTTTTATCAATAATATTCATTTATGTAAATCTTTAAGATTCAAAATATCAAATTCCAAATATCACCTACCAACCTTGTATAAATTTAACCTTGTAAACAAGAATGGGAAGTGACTAACACTAGCTATAGTAACATTTCTGTGTTTTAAAGTTAATTTTTTGAGAGCAATAGAGATTCTATAACTGACTTTTTTTTTTTATCATAAAATCCTTAGAGATTATGCTGAACATAATATGGCATTTATGAGATGATTGAAATGTTCAAACAAATAGCACATTTATTACAAATGATATATGACTGATAACAATATTAGACAGATCAATGTAATGATTCTATATACAGTAGACCCCTATAATGCGGGTTCATATAATGCGTGATATACAAATCAAATTCGTATATTGCGGTGAAAAAATTGCGACCATATTTGTATAAAGACACTAAAAGAGACTCGTAAAATGCAGTAAGATGGTACTGTAATTTTATACATTTCTTGTGAAAAAAACATTTCTTATTCAACAGCCATAAAAATTATTTATATTAATGATATCTCTAAAGTTCAACGAATTTTTCGCAGAAAAATAACTTATCAGAAAACACGCCCACCGTTTGGTGCACTGCTCCGCAACAAAAACAAGCTTAAGCAATGGCGTCGTCGAATGGTGCACACTTGGTAAGTAATCCTACAATTTTTTGTTTATAGCATAGTTTATACAGATTATTCCCAAAGAATTAAACCTGTTTTGGAAATGTTGAGTCAAATTAGCCTAGAATCAATTAATTTATGGAAGAAAACCTTTCAAACAGCCATAGTCCGTAAACTGCACACATGCCGGACTGTGATTGGCTCATGTATTTAAGGATTCCTACAACGCAAAATTCTTATAAAGTGGAACGTATCTACCACATTATAGGGGGGTCGACTGTAGTTGAATCTAGATTTATACATATGAACATTGTTTGTTAGACATATTCCTTTTATGAAAATGATTAAAAAAAATTGTAATTGCAATGTAAAAAAAGAAAAATAGAAGATTAATACTGAAGATGATCTCCAATTGCAGATTGAAGTCTCACCACACCAGGATGTAGATAATCACATATTCTGAACCAATTATCTGAATTCATTATTACAAATACTATAATACTATATTTATATAATATATACAGAGTGTATATATACTATATACACTCTGTATATTTTCATGTCCTGTTATACTATAATAGGACATGAAAATATACAGAGTGGCCCATCATAATAAAATCTTATCAAGAAAATTTTAATAGAAAAAATTTATTTTTCATAAGAGAAGAGAGAATATAGAGAAAAAAATAAATAAAATTCATACAACTGAATATACAGAAAACTAAGAATAAAAAATGTTGACATTGAATTTTAAATGTGATAATTTAAATTCTCTACTGTATATAATTATAAGCAGTAGAAATTTAAATTATTATTGTAGACACATCTTTTAAACAGAAGAGAAAAACAAAGAGGAAATCACTCTAAACAAAACATATGAAAGGAAAAGAAATCAAACACAAAAATAAAATACAGATTTAGACAAATTATGGAAATTAACTTAACTGAACTGCAAAATTAATAATCTGTTCTAGAATGGTATGATGTTTATTTTAAACTAAATTTTCAGGAGGTAATGTTAATATATACCAGGGACAGCCAACATGTAGACCGCGGTCGACCGATCGACCGCAAAGGTTTTGAAAGTAGCCCGTGAAGCTAAAGTTGAACAATTTGCTTTCACTTAAATTAATGTTTAAAAATCTTAATTCGATAATTTATTCTTACAATAATAGACTGTCTGTGCAACGCACCCATACTGTTTGTATTTATCCCGATGAACAATGCAAATGAATGTTAACACATGCGCATATAAAAATCCTAAAATTGTTTGCCCATATTCATAGTCGCCTGCAGACTATATTTTACAGAGTATATTTTACAGAGAAGAAAGATATATAATTTTACAGGAATTTCACTGTTTTAATAAACTTGGTAAAGTAGATTTAAGCTTTGTGAAGTTTTAATGTTCAGTTTTTATAATTTAAAAAAACATCACTAAACTTAAACATACTTTACCAAATTTACTAAAACAGTAAAATCACTAAAATTATATAGAAATTCTAAGATAATGATAGTTAACATTATAAACAAATTCTATTATAAATTAAAAAAGAGAAACTATACAATAGGTATGTCTAACAAAGTTAACTACAATGGAACCTTGCTTAATAAGTATCTTACTTGTAATGTGAAACACTTGTTAAGAGTAACAGTTTTTTCCATATAAATTAATGTAAAATAAGATAATGCATTCCACGCTGAAAAATTACTCAAATATTTTATATATAACGTTTATTCAAAGAAAATTATACAATATATATTGCTAAAGAGTGTGAATCATCTTTATCTTTTCTTCTAGTACAGAATGAACCAACTCGAAGTGTGAATTCGATTTGCAAAAAACAAAAAAAAATCACAGCTAATATGTCTGATGAACATGCCAAATGATATGCCAAATTCTTGGACTATGTAAAGGCCATAATTAAATACTAGAAATTAATTAATTTGACTGGTGGTAGGCAGTTACACTTCTAGTTCTTATTAAATTTTATAATTATAAATAATTAATTTTTTATTTAAAGAATCGATCATTAAATTTAGTACGAGATGGCATCATAACTGCATACCTCTAATCAAATTAATCAATTTCTAATATTTAATTATAGCCTTTACATAGCCCAAGAATTTGGCATATCATTTGGTGTGTTTAGTATATCAGGGGCTATGATTGTTGATGTTTATGCATAATATGTGTGAACACAAGTTTGGAAAAATGTCTGATCATGAGCGACACTAAGATGCTAGTGGAATGAGTGCTAAACACAGACTGATGGAGAATGTCCACAATCTAGGACTTCCTCTTTTCTTCTCACTCATTATGCAAAACATCGCTCGTTAACCGAGTCTTTTTTTACAATTTGTTTTGCTTGTTATGTAAAATACTTGTTAAGCAAGGTTCCGCTGTACATCATTTAGTCAATTCATGTTGGTTTCTTATATTTACAAATAAATATCCTTAGTAACAGATAGTGCAATTTATCTTTGTTTAAATTACAATGGTACCTCAAGATACGAAATTAATCCGTTCCGACACTAAGATCATAACATGAAAATGTCGTAAGGTGAATCATTTTTCCCCATACGATTACATGTAAAACCAAATAATTTGTTCTAACACAAAAAACACACTCAAATTAAAGCTAAGTAATACATTTAAAAAAAATAACTATAGTAAGGAAAGCACTGAAAAATGCATTTTGAAGTTGTAAATGTATAAATAATCTTAACAGAATAATAATTGATGAAAAAAAAAATGTAGTTTTATTTGCATTTTACCTTTGAGGATAGATGACAGTGGAGGTGTAAATTGGTGGCAAAAGAGAGGGAGAAGGGAAATGATACTAACATTTAACTTACATAACATAATGTAACAATAACTTAAAAATAACTTAGAAAAGATTTTTAAAAATTAGTGTTGTTTTATTTTTAATTTTTTAAAAAATTTTTATTCACTGCTTTTTGCTTTCTTTCCTTCATTTCTATCAGCACTTTCACTGGCTAGAGGTCACTTGGTAAAATATCTACCCAAAGAGGTTTGGCTTTGCCTACTTTTTAAAATGTTTCTAAAATGATTTAGGCAAATGTCATTACTCTGAACAGCAATATGGCCAGTGTGAACCTTTTCGGGATGTTTCTTTTCAATAAAATCAGTCACTTTCTGATAATACTTCAAGATTTCCTTTATCGAGCGAGATCCTTCAACGACAAAGCAAACATGCAGACTGAGACCAACGAACAGAAGTGAATAAAAAATGGCGCTGTGAACTAAAGTAACGTTGTATGGTGAGTTTTTGTTCGTATCGTGGAGCAAAAATATGTTCGAATTTCATGTCATATCCTGAAAATTTCATATGCTGGGGCATTCGTATCCTGAGGTACCACTGTATCTGAAAGCATCTTAAAATTTTAAATAAATGAATGTAACATATTATCTGTAGCAATGATAGTACAATATTTTGAAATATGATGGAATTTATAATATTTCCATCATATTTCAAAATATCATCTGAAGATAAACAAAAGCATTTATCAGATATCAGCTAAACAATAATTTTTATCTTAATACAATGCTTCACTTCTGTTCAATTATCAAACAATAATATAATGATAAATATCAAAACTAGAAAAAAATTACACAGTAAACAATTTTAAGTTTATTGTCGTGTATGTTTATTTCAACACAAAGCATAGTTGGTATGTTGTGCAAGTTTCTGTTCTCCTCCTCAATCCAGCCTGCATCAACATTGTGTGTAACGGCATTGGACCAAAGAGAAGACCAATATGTTGTGAGTTCTTCTTCTGTTGGTGTGCCACTGTGCTGTGTATCAGTGTTTGTTTTGGTACTGATTTGTCTGTAGAAATGTTTTTCATTGTTTGTGAATAATTTATTTTGTTGTTTTCGTAGTGTACATGTTTTGTATCATTTGAGTCTACGTGCTTTGGCTGCAAGTTTCTGTTTTAGTATATTGGTGTATTCTGTAATGTGTGTGTTGTGTAACGTCTGTATTGTGATGTTCGTGTTTTGTGTGTGTTGTGATTTTCTTGAAAATGTTTTTGAGTTGTTTCTTTAATTTGGGTGTTATGTTGTTTTTAGTGTATTGTGTCAGCCTGCCTAATTGCTGTCTAATGTCATTTATTTGTGTTTCTATTCTTCTCTGCCAGGCAGGCTTATGATAGAATTGTGTTTTGTGTGCGTCTGTCTGTGAGTGTATTTTCAGTCCATGGTGTGTTACTACTGTGACTGCCCCAGCATAAACTAATGTATGAATGTCTGTAAGTGTAGAAATTGAATGAATGTAGTTTGGTAGTAAGTGAGTGTTTACATAATCTAGTGTTTTTCCTACTGCCTTTGACGTGTTGATTTTTGGTATTCGTGGTCTTTGTGTGGGATCTGTACCAGTATATTTAATGAGTGTTTCCTGAAATATAAGTGAGAGCGTATTAACTAATTCTATGTCTACGTTATCAGTGATGGATGGGGAAGTGCCTGCAGTATCATTAGTGGTACTTGTTGTGTGTGTGCTGTAATCAGTGCTTGTTGCTGGATTATCCTGACAGGTTACGTGATCTTCATTAATGTTAAATGTTTCTGTCTGTTGATGTATTTGATCAGCAACCTGTTGTTTGATAAGTTCAAGTGTTGTTTGTGGGATAAGGTTGTTGTGTATAATTGTTCGTTTTTGATCAACAACCCTTTGTTCGGTGACAGTGAGGTGAGGATATTGTTGTGTGAATATGTGGTGTAGTTGTTGTCTGTATGCTGTCATGTTTGTTTCGAGTCTTGTGATGGTGTAGTAAGTGCGGATGATAAACTCGTTCATTTCTGTTGTCCATTTCATCCGTTGGCGTGGTTTTCCAGCCTTTGTGGTCTGTGGATGCATTGCCACAGAAACACCAAGGCTAGGTTGATTCCTCACATCTGTTGAGGGCATTGCAGTAGCCATGCTTGGGCCGGCGCTGCTTTCGCCACCGGTAACCAAGGGAGACTGTGGCCTATTTTTCGAACGTGAGCCTCTACCTAACCCACAGAAGCAGGTTAGATAGAGGCTCACGTTCGAACCTTGTTAACTTGGTAGACCTTGTTAACCCAGGCGACGTCCAAGCCGATATCACACTTTGATCTGGTTACTACCATGATAAATATCTCCACAGAATGTGGGTGTGGTCACTCTTAGCTTCACTTGTCCCCATAGACCTTACTGGCATGGGTGTCCCTACCAGGAGCTTGTGCTCCAGCCTGCATTGCTCTATGGTTCAGTAAAATTACTGGGCTCTCCCACCATGACCAGGTGGTGACCAAGGAAGAATTGTTATTATTATTATTAGATAAATAAAGAAAAACTAATATATGATGATAAAAACTTTGTCATTCAGTAGGCATTTGTGTCTTATAGTTGAAGTTAAGATGGTTTCCTCTTCATATTCCCTTATTTAATACATACATCTACAACGAAGTATAATAGAGAAATGTCTTAATGTTTAAGATGGTACCTTCTAAACTGCGTACTAGTGTAATGCTTTTAATGGCTGCTCTGAAGGTATGGAATATTTATGGGGCTGATTATGCAAAGATTGTATTTCTGTTCTAACAATTTTATACAGGTATATACCATTGTGAGTTATATACTACCATAGGTTAGCCACACAAAAGGTTATTGCTTGTAGAGATCTAAGTAATATACTTAGATCTCTACAAGAGATATTGCTTGTAGAGATCTAAGTTATATACTACCATAGGTTAGCCACACAAAAGGTTATTGCTTGTAGAGATCTAAGTAATAAATATAGACTAATATTATTGTGAGAATCCAGAATAATTTATAGTTATCAAGAATTTGTTAAAATATTGAACTGACATCAAAATTAACATATTTCTGTCAAATTCATAGGAAGGGAAGTAAAACTTCCTTTGGGAAAGATGTTATCACACATCTCCAACAAACATCTGTCCATTTGTGTCAGAAATAAAATCCCGTCAGATGTTAAGAATACTAAAAACCCAATTAAAGAGAAATTTAGAATAAAAGAGAGAGAAATCATAATCTCTGGGCAGCAACCGAATGTTACATGGACTGTTATAGAGGAAGGCAGCAGTCAAGAAAGGAACAAACATTGCCACACGAAAGTATGGGTGCCATAATGAGTATATAGTCCCTCTCTGGCTCTCCATCACCCGTCTCCCATTCTTTAGCCATCTCCATATCAGAAGAGAAGCTTTACACATCAAACTTGACTAAATACACTAGTCTAGACAGAGTTATTAATAATTATTATTATAAACTCTCTCTCAGTAGTTAAAAGGGTATAGAGTTGATGTTCAATTTAGCAATAGATTATTTATGTAGTTTATTCTCATATTCATTAAATTTTGTTATTTGTTAATCTACCTGCCTGTTCTTTTGTTTAAATAGACACCAATTGAACGTACCTGCAACTCTCTCCACTCGACTATTAGCCCTCCTAAAATGCCAACCAGTGACCCAGTGAGTAGAACTAACCATTCTGACAATTAGAGGGTTTACCCTCACCTGTATTCTCACATTACATTTAAAAGTTTATATAAATTTATCAAATATTCATGTATATATTTAAATTAAAAAAGTAAATAAATTCTATTCCTATATACAGTATTACTAAAAATATTAACTTACATATCTTCAGTAAGTCGAAGAAATCCATGTAAAGTTCTTAACAAGGCGGAAAATTTTAAAGGAACAAATATATCTTCTGGTTTCAAATTTCGTATTATGGTTAAAAATTCCTCAAAGGATGAATTAATATTTAATATACAATTAAAAATGCTTATTAGAGCATGAAGTTCAAATTCATCTAAACCTGTAATATATAAAGCAATACAAGATATTAATTTATATAAAAAAAATTTCATCTAATAAATCACAAACATATTTTACCTTCAGGAGATATTGAAATTAAACATAAAGCAATACAAACGATATTCTTGCCGTGAATATTATCCAACTGTTTCAAAATCTCTCTCAGTAATAAATATAATGTTTGAGGATACTGTCGAAGTTTAGAAGTTAACTAACAAAAAAGAAATCACACATATTATATATATATATTAAATTTTCATAAAATATAAATTTTCTATTTAAGCAGCTACATCATTAAAAAATTCTGTTAATTGCTAGAACTAACCTAAAATTAACTTCTACCAAAATAATTATTATTGAATAAATGATGTGAAACAGTAAAAAATATATTTCCATTACAGAGAATTGAAATTTAACCTTCCTTTTTTACATATATTTTCCAATATCTTTATTACAAGTATATCATAAATTTTCTTTTTTCAATTGAGAAGTAATTGAGAATAATTTTATTTAGTTACATTGTATACATAAAACATCTATACACTAGAAAATTAACAAATTAATTAATTACTTTTTATCAACAACTCTCTTCTTTGTTAATTATATTATTTATCATTAAAAATATTTGTAAAATCACTTTTAGAAACTAAAAGCTGTTTTACATAATTTTCTAATCATTATTGAATATGCCAGTCTATACATTGAAAGATAAAATTATTATCTAAATATTACATAACATAATTTATATAATTGAATATTTATTCATAGTTTATTTAAATAATTAACACTATTATGAAAAAGTTTGCTCATAAATTTATCATTACTGTATTAGTATAAAAAATCATAACTAAAAACTGAGTAGAAAATAAGAAACAAAATTTATTTAAAGAATAAAACAGTAGCTTTAAACAACCAACTGTACAATTTAGATAATTAATGTTAAATTCCTTGAACCAATAAATTTATGTATATTTTAGTATCTATAAAAACTATCCTTTATCAAAAATGTTAATAAAGAGTCAGAATGAAATTTCATTGTACTTTAAACTTTAATACATTATTATTATTTTAATACATTCCATAAAAAGACTATTGAACTTAATTTAATAGTTTTATTGATTTAGTTGCAAGAATTTCATAATATGTAACTAACAAAACATTTTATATTTAAAAAAAACACACACACACACGCATATATATATATATATCAGGTCAGTCCATAAGTTCGTGCGCATTTTTATCTACAAAAAAGCAACAAAAATTTTAATTAAATCTTATTTCAATCTATAATGTATTCACCATTATTTTGTACAATTTCTTGCCATCTTGATGGTAGCTTTTTAATCCCATCTTTGTAAAATGATTTCGGTTTTGAATCAAAATATTCAGAAATAGCCTTTTTTACATTGTTCTCATCCTCAAAAGTTTTTCCTTTTAAAAAATTCTGCAAACTCTGAAAAAGATGATAATCACTGGGAGCAATATCTGGCAAATATGGTGGATGAGGTAAAATTTCCCAGTTGAAGCTTTGGAGTTGAGCAGTTGACGTTGTTGTCAGTTAGTTATTGACAGTTTGTGTGGTATCCATTTTCCTAGCTTTGAAACTTTTCCGACTTGTGGTAGATGTCTATGAACAGTTCCATGGGATGAATTTAAACGTTCCGCAATTTCATCAACTGTTAAAGATGGTTCTGCTTCAACTAGTGCAGAGAGAGCATCATCATCAAAGTCAACAGGTCTTCCAGTACAAGCCTTATCCTCCACACTAAAATCATTATTTCTAAATCTTTCAAACCACTTATGCACAGTCCTTACACAAATTACAGTTTGATTATGAACAGTATTTAATTTTTTGGTTGCATTTGTAGCATTCTCATCACTTAAAAATAAAAAGTATAAAACACGTCTCTTATATTCATCTGTTACTTCCATTTTAACAAAAATAAACAACTGAAATGTTCCCAATTCTGAACAGTATTATATGAATGAGATCCAATTTAACACTTCAGTGTAAAAAGTATCACATTAGACTAACAGCAAAACAAGATTTTTCTCAAGGTCATAAAATACGCAGGAACTTATGGACTGACCTGATATATAAGGTCTACCAAAAAGAATGCTACCATTTTAAATTTTTGTAATTATGTGAATTATTATTATCTAAGAATGTTGTAATATACATTAAAACATTGAAAGTATCCAAGTTTCACATTTGCTCATTACAATTTCTCAATGTATGCAACTTGTGTAACATGGCACACACCTAACTGATACTCAAATTCTTCCTACACTCACTACATCAAATCTGTTGCTACTTTATTTATACTCTATACTCATAGCTCTATTGCAGTAATTCTACAGTTGCTGCAGATTATTCATGTTGCACAATGATAAGTAATTCTGACTTTGAGAATCTGTTGAAAACAAAATATCTTCTTTATTGCAGCAGATTATTCATGTTGCACAATGATAAGTAATTCTGACTTTGAGAATCTGTTGAAAACAAAATATCTTCTTTATTGTGGAGTAACCATTTTCATTTATGATGGTTCCTGGAGGCAGTAAAAAACAACATGTTTGAATGCAAATGGGAGATGAAACTCAGACAGTAACTATATCAATTGGTGTACATTGTATACTTCTCAGGTAATAATTTAACATAACTACAGTAATTTAAAATAATACATTCTTTTTGGAAGACTCTGTATATATATTTTATTAATATCTAACTAATTATTTTAATAACATGAATTTAATATCTATATATTTTTATGACAGTTATTTTTTTAATGTAATAATTTAAAAATTTTAATTTATTATAATATGATACTTACATTTTCATATTGGCCAAAACTTTTAAGTTCTTCACAAGCAATATGTAAAAATAATGGAATACCTGCTTCTCTTTTACTGATCAACATTAAAAGTTGATTATTAAATGGACTGGTATCAAGAGTTTTCCGGAAAGGAAGAAGATCATTATTCACAATTTTCTCTCTATCTGACATAACTAAAGCTGCTAATTCAAACTTATAAATATTCTTTTGATATTTTGATCTTTCAGACAATATTTTATATGTAAAAGAATCTGTTGCTGTACTGAGAATAATTTTCACACCCTGAAATTAAATTATTTAAATATATTTTTAAACTATAAAATGTAAGTGAAAAACAATATACATAACACTAAAAATTATAAATTTATTTTTAAACCACATGGACTGTACAGTACAGTACAAAGCTTTTTATATCCAAATCAAATTTTGAATATATTTGATTATATCAGATATAATGTGTGTAGCGCTACGCGACTATGTATTGTTATTATATGTATGTATATATATATTTTTGTCGGGTTCCTTCGTGTTTTGTATCGGGTTTTTTGTCATTTATGCGATGTCACGTGTGTGTGTTATGATGTCACCGATTGGGTGGAGCTTTCCGATATGTAACGCTACGCGACTATTGGTTGTTAATATGTGTATGTGTATAAATATTATTTTTTTGTCGGGTTCCTTTTGTTTTGTATCGGGTTTTTGCCATTTATACGATGTCACGTGTGCGTGTATTATGATGTCACCGCATGGGAGGAGCTTTCTGATTGGTCCAAGGTGGGACACGTGGTAAAGCGGACTTCCGGAGAGCGGGAGATATAAAACGTGTGAACTCCCGTTATAAGATTATTCTGGTCTCTGTACCCGTTGAGGAGAGTGGTCGTTATACTGGTAAAATAAACCTTTTCTTTGTTTCCGTGCACGTGTTGGTCATTTACTGTGTCCTTTGTTTTATTGCCCCGTGGATTCCTATCTACGGCATACTCTACATGTGTATCAAAAAATATATAAATATATATATATAAGCATATTCTTTCAAACTTTATTTTACCTTTTAACTTTGTAAGAAACAAAAAAATTCTTTGAAGATTTCTTTATGTCATACAAGATATTTGTATTTTGTCTCAGTAATTTTCTTGTCATATATTGGTCAAACAAGAAATTTGTTAAGATATTTAGTATAAAATCAATGGTGAATTTTCATATTTTTAATGTAAAAATAAGATTTAATTGAAATTTAGAATGATCAATTATAAAGTTTTTCATAGCAAAAGGCAATAAAAACACTGTAAGTAATAGATATGTATTATATCAATGGTGCAGTTTTCTTTATATTCTTTTAAAAGGTCAATTTTTCAAAGAAAATATTTCCTCAAAAAAATCAATGAAACTTTATGGGTTAATTCCACAGAAATAACCGCCTTTTTTTTTTTGCCTGGAGCGCATTTAACCAGAGACAAAGGCTTATCTTCGTATTCTTTATTTACTTATTTAATATGCATTTCGGGTGCAATATTTTTGTGTAACTTGCACCCCTCTTCAGGTTTTACATTTCTATATATTGGTAAAATTCGATTATTACATTTGTTATTACGGTAAATTACACAATTTTGGACATATTTACACAATAGTTAACTAACCTGTTTTATGTTTAGACATACATCTGCCTGGTGTTGATGTTGTGTCCCCTAAGGCATTTTTAGACCGTTTTCCCCTCTTTTTGTTTTCTTTCCCTTTAGCTCCTCCCATTTCCTCTCACACGTTGTCAACCTCCATTCCATCATTTAGGTTTATGGTTTTGTTTTTATTAACACTTGCGAAGTGCTCTTTGAATTTTCGTAGATAACTGTCTTTTTCTCTATGGATTATTTTTACACTTTTTTCATTAATTGTGCATCCAAATTCCCTACAGTGATTTGTCCATGTGACTGGTTATAATTAAGTCTAATTGCTGCTTTATGTTCTTTTATTCTGGTACCCAGTTGCCTTCCTGTTTCACCAATGTATATCGCTGGTTTCTTACACGTACATTTTATTTCATATATTACACCTGTTTGGTTTAGTATTTCGTTATTTTTAAACTTATTGGTGTTGATGTTGTTTTTATTCTTATTTTTTAATTTAGCTGCTAGTGTAACACCATGCTTACTGAAAACTTTTCTGTATTTTTCAAACGTTCCCTTAATATAGAGGAACTACGTATATGTAATGTTCTCATTCTTATTTTTAACGTTGAATCTGTTTTTTATAAATGCATTTATCCACTTTTTTAGTAATCTGCTTGGATAGTCGTTCAAGATGAAGGTATTTATTAACTCATTTTTTTGTTTTTCTCTTTCTTCTGCCTTAGATGTGCTATTCCAAATCTTTGAAAGTGCTGTTATAAAAATATTTCTTTTTATTGTAATAGTTTATACGACTTATAATTAAGGATTTTATCTGCATTGCTGCTTTTTTTGTAAGGTTTTGTATTAAGAGAGTTTTTTCATGGTTTAGAGTTATATCTAGATAATTAATTTTATTTTTATTTTCTGTTTCACTTTCAAACTTAAGGGTATTGCTTAGCATGTTTGCATAGTTGTATATTATATTTCCGCTAGTTATTTCTTTGTCGTATATTATTATGATATCATCCACATATCTAGCCATAAACATTATTCCATTTAGGTTTGCCAATTTTTTATCTATTTCTTTCATGCATATTTCTGCCAGTTTTGGTCCGATTATTGTTCCCATACTAATACCATTTTTTTTGTCTATATAATTTTTCATCTATATGGAAATAATTATTTTTAAAACTGTATTTTATTAACTCTAGTAGCCAGCTATGTATTTCTAGGTGGCGTAGGCTTTTTTCAACTAATTTCCCCTTTTATTGATGGGTACATAGAAATTATGTCTAAACTTAGTAGCCTATACGTTGGTTTTATTTTAACTCTCATCAGTTTTCTTATTAATTCATCGGTGTTTTTTATTGAGTAATCTGAATATAGTACTATTTTAAGTTTTTTCTTTATGAATAGTTCTAAATTAGATAATACTGTGTTTTTAAAGTCAACTAAAGATCTGCATATATCCCTTGTTTTGTGTGTTTTTAACCATATTTTAAGTTATGGTTTTCTGATATTGTTATAGTTGAGTATTTGTTTTTTCTCAGCTAGTGTTACCTTTCTTTGTTTATACAGGGTTCCTACTTGAATTTTTGTTTTAAATTCCCTGACCAACTTTGTATAAATTCCCTGACCCTCACGTTCCTTACAGTATGGCACATTAACAAAATAAAACATTACTCAACTTACTATGCACATACATTAGTGCTTCTCCAACTTTTTAACTGATTATTTTTTCTAATTAACAGTTATATATTTTTTATGATCGATGAATTAGTAAAATCAAAAATAAAATAAGAAAGACAGAATTAAGGCATGTCTTCTATACAAAAAACTAAAATGTTTTATTAAACAATAATTTATCCTGTTATTAACTCATAACCATAAAATTTCATAGCTTTGAAAAAAAAGCCATTAATTATTATTAAAAGAATTCAGTATAATCCATGTAGAAAAGTATAAAGTTATTAAATTTGTCTTTTAATAAATTTTCCAAACTTTATAAAATATTAATAAACTGGGAAACAGTTTCAGAAATCAGAAATTGTTTTGTTATGTGATCAAAATTATTAAAATGAAACACGATAAATAATACCATTTGAATTAATATTNTTAATAAATTTTCCAAACTTTATAAAATATTAATAAACTGGGAAAAAGTTTCAGAAATCAGAAATTGTTTTGTTATGTGATCAAAATTATTAAAATGAAACACGATAAATAATACCATTTGAATTAATATTAAGTTATTTATCATTTTTGGTTCTTTGTTATACTTTTTCCATCAGTTCATTAACATCTTCCCTCAAATTGAAAGTGTAAATTGCAAGAGATAGAAAGTTAAAATATTTCAAAATTTTTTTTATCAACATTAGATTATTAAGAGTATTAGATTTTTCTCTAACTTATAATACTGCATAATTAATACAGCAGTTTTAAAATCTAAAAGTATTTTAAAATTTAAAAATAACAATTGATATTGTTGTATGCTTGTATATTTTGTGCGCGATAATTTTAGGGAAAATTTTGGGATCCTGATAATATTCTGCATTCCCTTTTCATAGTTGCATTGTACCACAATACTTCTGGCTGCCTGCAGACAGCTACACTTGGTCAGTCATGCTGTCAGCAAACAAAATCAACAAGGCAACCAAGGAAACAAATTCCCTGATTTTTCCTGACTTTTTGACAATTTTTAACAAATTTTCTGACTTTCCATGACTTTTTCGGAACGCTAATGTAAATCCCTGACTTTCCAGGTGCATAGGAATCCTGTTTATATAATTTTGTGATCTCTTTCTTCATTCATTTTTTTATTTCTTCTTTTGGTTCTTCTGTCAGTTCAACAAAATCATTCATTAACACTATTTCAGATTTTTTCTTCTTTTCCCATTCTTTATCAACTATGATGATTTGACTAGTTTTATCAGCTTTGATTATGTTTAGGTTATTTTCCTTCAAGTATTTTTTTAGTATTGTACATTTTTTTGACAAAATGTGGGAGGAAATGGAAGGGAAAGAAAACAAAAAGAGGGGAAAATGGTCTACAAATGCCTTAGGGGACACAACATCAACACCAGGCAGATGTATGTCTAAACATAAAACAGGTTAGTTAACTATTGTGTAAATATATCCAAAATTGTTGTAATTTACTGTAATAACAAATGTAATAATTGAATTTTACCAATTTATAGAAATTAAAACCTGAAGAGGGGTGCAAGTTACACAAAAATATTGCACCCGAAATGCATATTAAATAAGTAAATAAAGAATACGAAGATAAGCTTTTGTCTTTGATTAAATGCGGTCCAGGCAAAAAAATGGCGGTTAGTTCTGTGGAATTAACCCATAAAGTTTCATTGATTTTTTTGAGGAAATATTTTCTTTGAAAAATTGACCTTTTAAAACAATAAAAACAAAAAAATGAAAATGGTACCTACTATAGATCTGAGATAATCCAATGTAGTGATTTCATCTTATGGTAGCACTAGTCATGCAATGAGGTCAATTATTTACATAATAATAACTTACAAATAGTCAGCTTCACTGCTTGATTAATGTCAAATTTGTGCAAAATAATACAATTACTTCATTATTAAAATTGTTTACAATTAATTCTATAACTGATTAAAACAATTGCTATTATTTTGCATATAAAATTATAATAGCCAAAATTCAAAAGAGTATGCTTATATATAATTATATCATCTCTTTATGATCTTCAAATTATGAATGCTATTATGTTAGTTTTTTATTGTTAGACTGCTACAAAAATAATAACTTAATATATTTTTTTAAAAATTAATATAATTTTAATATATTATTAAATTAATTTTTACTGTTGGTAAATCAACGGGAAGCCAGTCAAGATCTTGAGAGTTTTTATTCATCAACTGATCCAATCCATCAATAAAGATGATTAGCCTATTATGTGTTGATTCTTGTACCGCTACTTCAAGAATATCATGAAATATACTACATAAATTCCTTTAAAAAATAAAAAGAAAAAATTAGATTAGACAAATCCATAATTAACATGATTTATTAACTTAAATGAAATTTTTTACAATTACTTTAATTCAAAATGTTATCATTACTTCATAAACAAAATATATTTTTTAAGTGCTGAAAAACTTGATCAATTTTATTATAATTATTTTTAAAAGTCATACAATTTTATTTCATAAATTGTGTTTTTAACTTTGGATAAAGGTTAAAGACTTTTTTAATTAAGTCCCGATTTTTAAATTTGTTAGTTGCCTTTAACTTTGTAAGTTAATTATATATTTAATTGATACAATTATTAAATAGAATATTACAAGAAATTAAATTAAACATGCTATTAGAAAAAGTTAAGACTTAATTAATCTTCTCTTCTAAAACATTGCTTTACTAATTATAATTTTATTATTAGCTTACATTAGGTACCACTTATTAAAATCATAGATATCATTGTCAGTTATCTAATATTACAGAATCAACATGCCCCAAAATATGTAAATTAAATAACATTACAAAATGTTTGCTTTTTATAATCAAAACTTCACATATAATTATCATTGTGTTATTAATAATAAGTTTGAATTTACATAAATGGTTAACAACAGTCAGTTAACAAAACAGATGATAACAATTGTAAGTTGAGTCATTTCAATAAAAATGTTAGCACAACCATCAGAATCAATTTAAATTAAATTATCCAAACATATAAGATGATTACTCTTAATATATTAAATGATTGTTTTAATCTTATACTCTATACTGTACACAGTATTACAATTTAAATTTCTATTTTTGACATTTGTATCTCTTAGCATAATAGAAGAAGCAAGTAAGAAAAGCAATTATCAAAAGCAATATTGTTGTACAGTTGAAAAATTTCACAGTAAGTTTTGTATAAGATTTCAAAAATTAGAGTGAATATTGAAATGTCAGTAGGACAAAATGAGAACATAATTTGCAAGAGAATCAAACTGGAAATGATGGTAAAGTTGAGTTAATATTGAAGCTTTGCTTTAGTAATGTTAATGAAAAAAATGTACCTGAAAATGAGCTACTAATGTATCATAAAGCAGAAGATTAGCTAAAAATATGGGAAAGAAAAATTTTATTCTAACTGTTGGGTGGCTTAACCAGTGAAGAAAATGAGAGAATATTGTGTACAGACAGATTCATGGTGAAGTGAAAATTCTAATTCTGTATTAGCTGAGTTGTGGATAAAGCCAGAATGACCAGAAATTATTGATGAATATTCATTGAGAAATTCTAAAATTTGCCCAAAAGTTTTGAGCAAATCAACCTCCTCTCCCCTCCTCAAAGTGTCTCATATGCCCATGTTTGTTGGAAGACAACTGTAAAGCATATTTATGTGTTAATAATGTGCCATTAAAAAACGTTAAAATAATATTCCTTTCTGCAAATACAACATCACTGATTTAGTCATGCAACCAAGGAATCATATCTACCTTAAAGGAATACTACAAAAGTGAAGTGTATGTAAGAATTTTAGGAAAAGTAAATGATAATCAAAGACAGATTGGTAAAACTTCTATTGCCAAAAGAATTTTCCTACTTGATGCACTATATCTTTTGGTAATGTTGTGGGATCAAGTGTTTGAGTAGACCATTAAGAATTGTTTAAAAAAGTGTGTTTTTTTTTTGTAAATAGGTTCAGAAACATCTGAAAATGAAGTTGTTATCTGTTGAAGAAAAGATACTAAATAACATGCCAGAAGGTATGTCAAAAGAAAAGTTTAAAAACTGATTGACAAGGAAAACCCAGTGTTTGCTATGATGGCATCAGAAATATACTAAATTGTTATCAAAGAAGGTTCTGGAGAATTATCTGATACAATTAAAAAAATCAACATAAAAATAGTCTAGATCTTCAACAAATGCTCAGATGCAAGGAGTTCAAAAAGTATTGCATTGTTGTGTACAGTACACTATAGACGTATTGAGTTTTGAAAAGCACTATGAATATATGTTGTATTAATATGAATATATTTTTTATTAATGAAATATTGCCAAAAACAGCTGACAAATAAATGCTGGATGAATTACTCAAGTAATTATTATTATAATTAATAAATTTAATAACTAACTTAAAAGTTTATTTTTAAACATTTTTAATTGTTTCAACAATTTTTTAAATTATCTGATTCAATAAAATTAGAATTTCCATTTATTGTGGTCATATTACTTTCACTACACAATGTTTTCTTTTCACTTCATCATTGTTATAAGTACAGGCTAATCCTATAGTGATTAACTCAGTAGTATCTAATGTATTATTATTTTAAGTATTTCTTCATGATCAGTGAGATTTGATTATACATTTAAGTAAATTTAAATAGCCAAATTGTTTACAAGCTATTTTATTTTAAGGTTAAATATGATCAGATTATTATGAAAATTTTCAATATAAATAGACAATGTTATTATCTTTCAAGAAATTTAATAATGATATTTAATTTTTACACAATAAATAATTTAGAAATATTTAGAATAAAACATCTTATATATCTGTTAGGCATGCAGAAATTAAAAGTTCAAATCTGACTATATGATCCTGGAAAACATTTCAGGAGTTTCTACATTTTTTAATTTAAGAGTATTTCTAATTATTAAATTTCTTTTACAAGATTATGAAACTATCTTTCTTAAAATTATATAATTTAAATTTTGCCTTTCAGAAATGTAATTAAATTTATTCCAACTATTATCTAAATTATATGATAAACCAAATAGCTAGATTAGGTATAATCATGATTTAAGCTATGGTTCAAATAAACTTTTTCACCTTTCAGAAACGAAAAGAGAATTATAGAAATTTTCTGATCAAATAATTATTTATAACTAAATATCTAGCTATCATCAACAGTTTTTACATTAATATTAAAAGATGATGATAATTAATCTTCTATATTTTATAAGATTGTGTAATGATAATTCTTTTTCAAAGAAAATTTAAAATAATTTAAAAAAATAAAATAGTAAACTACTATTTTATTATAAAACTTTGAAAATAAAAAATACTTGTTTTACTTACTCTAATTTATTAGGAATTTGAAATTTTATGGAAAAGTGATTAGAAATAGAAGTAAGTAAATCATACAGCAAATTATGAAGATAAAAAGATCTTGAATCAATTCCAACAAAATAAGGAAAGACTGGTTGCAGTTGATTTACTTTACAAAGTTCAGCCTAAAATAGAAAATAAATCATGATATTAAATCTTTAAATTACAATAAAAATGATAAAAGCTTAAAACTATTTAATAGTGTCGGAAATTGCTTTAATTAAAAATACGAAAAAAACTCTCAGCCTCTTCCAACTTCAGAAAATGATTAAAAAACATTCAAACAATACTTAAATCAGGACTAGGTTATTTTAATTCTTACACATCATCATACAATTTTAAGTTACCTATAAAATGCATTTTGCCAAAGTGACAATACTTTGGAATCTTCAGTGATAATACACTGTGTGCAGTGTATTTATAGTTTACAAATCTATCCCAACATGCAACAACATTAATGCCATTATTTAAATTAATATTATTTACAATTTTCTTATTTATTATTGGAAATGTTCTTTAATTTTCTTTTAGTAGTATTTTTCTTAAACAAAATTTTATATTGTCTGTATCATTGTTACAATTTGCTTCCCTACAATGTAAAACCATGGTGATGTCATAATACCTAATTTGATAGCTGCTTGATGCTCTTTTAATCTTTTTTCAAACAGTTGTTTCATTTCTCCTATGTAATATTTAGTTTAATTTTCACATGTACAAAATATCTTGTAAACTACTGCAGCTGTTTTAGCCTTCTTTACTTTTTTTCATGTAGTAATCTTGATACTCTATTCTTTTGAGAAGGAGCCAAGTTATGGAAAATTTACTAAATTCACTCTATTTTTCAAATAAATCTTTTATATGGAAACTGGAAATATTGAAAAAACTGTGGTTTCATTTTAACTTTATGTAAAACACACATATAATACCAATTTTTTAAAATTGTATTATTAATCTGCAATTTGAAAAAACTGTAGATCTATAAATTCCCACTGTTGTGCATTGTCTGTCCATCCATCTTTCCTTAATCTCAAGAATGGTGTTAGATAAATGAAATTCATGAACAGATATGGAAAACTTAGGGGCAGAAGGCTCTAATTAACTATATATGAACTTCCGATGCAAACCAAAAGTTACGTTATTTCAATTAAAAAATTTTCCCTGAAAGGAACTAGATAGATGACCAGCACAGCTCCATTGCATATGGAAAAGTTTGATATACAGGAGAAAGACATTACAGTACTAATTTGAGATGGAGAATATACATTTTAAATTAAATAAATTAAAAATATGATTAAAAATTGCAGCTTAGCATTGTGATAATGTCACAACAAATATTTACTTATTACTATTTTAAGTTCTGAATTCGTAAAGTAAAGTAGAATGGTGAAATGATAAACACTGCAATAAGGTTAAAATAAAGGAAATTGTATAAATAAACAAAATGCCCATAGAAGCATCTACATATCTTAGCGCATAAATGGAGTACAAAAAAAGGTGTGTGTGAAGAACTACAGTGCCACGAAGTGGAGCAAAGATACAAAACTTAAAATAAATCAACCTATAAAGTAAACATTTAATATATATTTTTTACATCAAATTTTCAAAACAATCTGATATTTACCATTACTGCAGTTTTTCCATAACCAGATTTTCCAGTAATAAGGAATAAACCACTTTTACTTAAAATATTATCCACACAATTTTTAACAAAAGAATCTCTTCCTTCAATTTGATGAAATGCTTCAGCATATGAAGCATGCAGAACTGATAATCTTTGGTCAGAATATGAAATTTCATCCTGTAAATATGAAAAAAATATTGAAAACTTTTCAATTTCATTTTTGTTTCTGTAATTTTCAGATATTAAAAATTATTTCTGAATCAAAGAATATTATAAACATTGATCTATAAAAACCAAAATAGTTATTATTACTGCTTAAAATCACTGAAGTTAGTATTGTTATGTTCTTTAGTATTCAATTATTATAATTTCTCTTCATTTTGTTTTAAATTCTGATTAAGTTCAAGTTATCTCTGCTAAAACTGCAATATAACATTGTTTATAATCAATTAAAGTACTAAGCATTAAAACTTTGATTTTAATTTAAAATGTTACATTTAATACACAAGTTTTTCATTAACTGAATTTTGATCACATTTAAATTTTAATCCATTTTACAATTATAAAATATAAATTAATTAATACTAAAACCTATTCTGTACACAATAAATTTATTATTTTATTATGGTAATTTAACTAACAGATGAAATCCTCTTATAAAAACATTTCAATAAACTTCTAAAAATTATTAAAAAATTATATTTCTTGTCTATAAGAAATTTCAGAAAGTTTCATTCATTAATTTTCTGTGTAATTGAATGGATGAATTTAACATTTTTCCCATAAATTTCTTTTAACTTCTAACCAAAAGACTTGCACTATTGCAGACTTTCTAGTTTTATGGTGGAAATTTAAAAAAATGCTTAAATTTTGGATACAATTCAGTTCTTTTTACTTATAATTTTTTATAAAATTATTTTAATATAAACAGTGTTAGAAATAATTAATATGAGAGGAAGTAAATCAAATATAAAAGAGAAAGAGATCATAAAATCTAAATAATACAAAACTCTAAATGATGGATTTGGATTTCTAAAATTTTATTATTTTTAAGTATTTCAAATTTTCTGAAAAAATACAAAACCATATTATTTATTAAAAATAATATAAATAATAAACATAAAATGAATCAAAATATTTTCAAAATTATTCAGGATAAAAATAAGTAAAAATGTTTTGAATTATAAAAATATCTTTGTTAATAAATATATTGTTTATTACATTTGTGTAACTAAAAATAAATGAAAATTAATATTGCTTTAATAATTTAATAAACATATTCATAAAAATAATACTGTACTATGTGAATTTTTAATTGACACAAAAAAATTATAAATTCAAGTTTTTGGCCAAATTACTTATTGCACCTTTAACAATGGGATTTATTTAAAAAGAAAAAAAGTGCTTATGTATTCAACCATTCTCCATCCTCCAGCACAAACAGTCAAAAGATGATTATTCATAGTACTCATCTTTTGATTGGATTTGCTTGAGGATTGCCCATTTACTGTATTGGAAATGTTAGAGCTCTTTTCTAAAAATCCCACTGTTAAAGTGTGTTAAGTAATTCAGAAACATTCTACAGTAACTACTACATCATCTTCAAGTTTTTATATTAATTTTAAAAATTCAATTACCTTTTTATAATATTTACATAAGGAATTCCATAAATTTTCTAGAACTCTTTGACCAAATTCTTCTAAACCAGCAACAACTGGTTCATCATTAACTACTCCACCCCAATAACATGGATAGCTTAAAAATATATTAATTTCAATTGTTTTGAAAATAAAAAGTAGCTTTCAATAATCACAAAAATTTCTTACTTATTAAAAACTTCAAGACCACTTTCTTTAATTCTTTGTTTCAAATTCTCCATCTTAATATGATTAAATTCATTCTCTGATACAAAATTATCTTTCCATTTTTCAGGAATTTGGCTGAAATAGTGTAATAAGAATAGTATCTTTAAGAATGTTGTAATTGTTCCCATATTTCAAATAAATTACCACATATTTCCGCAGATAAGACAACTTTCAGATAAAACGACGTATAAATTTTCATCAAAGTTTTATAGTTTTAGCATATATCTGTCCTATAAGACAACCCCCAAACTATCAATGGCCTATGAATTTAGTTTAGGTCAGCAATCATAATCTGAATAATAATATGGTATAGCATATACGGAATTATGTCCTATTCGTAATTTTTTGAATGAACGAATTTTATTTTCTTGCATCTGGCAGCACTGCCTTGCTATTGTTGCAAGCATTCACACTAATTCAGGCATTCGGGTAATGACCTTGACTATTCACAAAAACGTCATATGGGCTATTCTATTTTGTAGACATACCCTACTCTCTACTAGTAAATAATTACAGTTTTTCCATTTTTTTATAATGGTTTTAATTTATATAAATTTCAATATAATTTTTTTGTATTTGTCCTATAAGACAACCCCAGATTTTAGGGACCTTTTTTAATGATTCAACTATCGTCTTATCTACAAAAAAATATACGGTATTTTTAAAAATAAAATACTCATAAATTATTGAATTAATTTCTTAATAATTATGTATAATAAAATAACCTTAACACATCTGTCCACCAGATTGGCAGAATTGTTTCTATTTTGCAAGATTGTGATTTCAGATTCTGTTTCAAGTATGGATATTTGTGTTTGTTGGATTTTAATGGGTGCTTTAAAGAAAAAATTTGACTGTCATCTAAGTTGTCATAATTTTTTAATTGGTGCAATTTTTTTACATCTCAGATGTTTTTGTTTAGATAACAGTTTTCCAAATACCTTCTCCCAACATTAAAAGTTTAATAAAATTTAATTGATTCAAAAACTCCATATCAATAGTCAGTCATAACTACTGTATTTCCACACAAATAAGAGCATGTTCATATATGTGAAAATTATTTGTTTTGCATTTTTGAAACACAAGTCCTACTTCACATATAAGAACATCTCTTATGTGAGCCAGCTTGATTTTGATTATAATAGCATTACACTGTTGTGTCAATGTAAATTAAATATAAAGGTATTGATACTGTAACTATTCAGCCAATATATGTGATAACCATTATTAAAAATCCAGCAAAAAGTTGCATAACTCTCTGGCAAAAAGTTAAAATTGTGTGTAAAAAAAGTTAAAGCCGTTATATTTTATTTAAAAACTTTTAATATTAGTCAAACTATAATCTGAATGATCAGGCAATTAATATGATTATTATAGAATATTTAGGCTTGATTGTTTATGTATATCTATAATAATTTGTTAACTAAAATGAAACAAAAAAATATTTTTAATCCTTCAGATGAATATGTCTAAATTGCATACCAGTAATTATCTTGCTTTTGATGCAATCCCTAGAGACTCAAGGTATACAATGGGACTGATTATCCCGGCAAAATTATGGTAACTCATGCAAAAACTCAGCACGTTTGTTGTTTTATACAATAATGCATGTTAAATCCTAATTTTCTGTAATCTATATGGCTGCATCACTTGAATCCACAAATTGCCATTCCAAGATAGATTAAAAATTTAATATTAAAAAGTTAAATTAATTTAAAATTACCTTTCAAACATCTTATCTCTAAAATAGAAAAAAGATCGTTCTGCGGCAGCAGAGGGATCAGCTAAAGCTGCACAATAAATTTCTAATTCAGTTAATGATGCACCAAGAGGATATTCCTGTAACCAATCAAATTCTGGATTATTTGAAACATTATATTCTGCAATTTGTCCATATCTTTCACCAAGGATACCAAGAAAATATTCACATCTTGCCACTTCTGATAAACATATTTCCAAAGATCTGATAAAAAATCAGTTTTTATAAAATTATAGTTATTCAGTAAAAAGATATTACATCAGATATTATATTAACATACTTGCTATTATTTGATTCTGCTTCTGTTATCCCCCATCTAAGATCAACTTCTTGAATATTAACATTAAGTGTTTTAGCACGTACTCTTAATTCAGGAATTATAAAGCGCACAATCAAGTCTCTTTCTCCATGCATATCTTTGAAAGTAGATGAAATAAATATTCGAACAGTCTTCCATCTACATAACAAATAAATTTGGTTATATATAAATATATATAATACCAAAGATTAGACTAATTCAAATATATAAATATACCAAAGTGACAAAATGTCTTTATTTTCTATTACTCACAATACCAGTGACAGTCCAAAACAATTTTCACTTATGGAGATGACCTTTTATTTGAGGCTGTGCCAAATTCTGGCACTTAAAAAAACACCTTGTCCCAACAATAGAAAAATAGCCAAGACTTGGCAATCCTAGTTTTAACCCACACAATTTCATAAAAACAGACTAATTTACACAAATTTTACAAAACTATGAAAATATTTGAAAAAGTAGATTCATTATTTTGTAAAAATGTTTAGATATTTAATTAAATCTACAGTTTATAAAAAAAGTTTTAACGCATAAGTGAAAACAGAAATGGAATATTACAAATGCTAAATTTTATTTGTTATATTTAATATTCTGCTCATAGTGCCAAGGAAAGCTTTAATAAGGGAAAATTTGACTTTATCAAAAATTCCATTTAAATTGTTTTTAATGTAAAAAGTAAATACAAGTTTTAAAATTCAATTATTATACTATTAATAATAATGAACACCAATTTACTTTCTTCAATAAAAGTTTTTTAAATTTATTAATTAAGTTCACTACACAGAAACTGGTTCTCAGCATAAATTAATGTACTCCATTAAAGCTTTTTACATTCACATTTTGTCAAATAAATACTGGGAATTGTCCATTTGAAAAGCCTGTGTAAAAGATATGAAAACTAACTTTTTGCTGTAAGTTGGTACTAGTGTACTTAATTGTCATGTGAATTTGTAGTGCCATCTGCCAACCAGTTTATTTACAATTGCTGGTTTCATTATTGAACATAAAGAGTTTTGCGATTTTCAAAATAGCCAAAAATATTGAACAAAGAGTATGTCTAAAATTTTGTGTTGTCAATGAAATTTCTTGCGCTGAGTCATTAAAAATGTTGCAAAAGGCCTATGGTGTCTCAGCTTTATCCAAAACATGTGATTATGAGTGGTACAAAGCATTTAAAGATGATTGAGAAGTAGTGGAAGACTTGCTTCTTTCTGGTTGACCTTCAAAAACATTGACAAAGTGAAGGAAATGGTAATGAAACATTGTCATTCAAGCTTGAGAGCGATGGCTCAGAATCTAAACATGTCTTGCAAATCTGTTTGCACCATTTTAGTTGATGTTTTGGGCATGAGATGTGTCGCAGCATGACTTGTTCTGAAGGAGCTCAATTTTCTTCAAAAAGAGCACTGGAAAAAAATTGCAGAAGACATGCTTGACTGAGCCAAAGCCAATTTGGACCCCACATTCATGAAATGCATGATAACAGGTGATGAGACATCAGTTTATGAGTTTGACATGCAAACCAGCAAACAAGCTTCAGAATGGCATTTCAAGAATACACCAAAACAAAAAAAAAAAATATGTCAAAGACACTCAAAAATCAGTCATGTTGACTGTTTTCTTTGACTGTCACGGTGTCCACTTGGAATTTCTTCCAGAAGGAGAAACAGTCAACAAACAATATTACCTGGGTGTTATGAAGTGTTTGAGAGAGAATGTTCACTGGGAAAGGTCAGATTTGTGGAAGAACAATTCTTGGATGTTGCATCATAATAATGTGCCATCTCACACATTAACCCTTGTATGTGAATTTTTAACCAAAAACACAATGAATATAATCGACTGAGCACTGTATTCACCAGATATGGCCCTATGTGATGTTTTCAACTTCCTCAAACTCAAATTATCACTTTGTGGAAAATGCTTTGAGTCGATTGAAGAAATAAAACAAAATTTGCAGAGGGAGCTGCAGACCATACCGGAAAGCACTTATAAGAAGTGTTTTAATGACTGGGTTATTCATTGGCTGAAGTATATTACATCAAATGGGGTCTATTTTGAGGTGACTAAATTTTTGTTTAATCATTCAAATTTATTTTATTTTATTTAACAATTCCTGATATCTATTTGACAGAACGTATTAATCATTATATTACTAATTTTTAATAAATTGCTTATTACCATATAAAAATTTCATAATTTTTAATTTTTTTTATATCATTCTTTTATTATATTTTGAAATATTTTGAATTATGTACACATTTATTTACTTATTTTTTTTAATAATAACCAAGATCAATAACAAATAGGAAAACTATTAGCTGAATTGACTACAGTCGACCCCCCTATAATTACGGTCCCTATAATTACGATTCCTATAAAACTACAAAAAAATACAAGTAACCCCCGTATAACACGGCACTTCTATAGCACGAATTCACTCTAACACGGTTCGAGAATTGGTACCACCCCCATATAACACGGTACTGTTATAGCACAGATTCACTCTGACACAGTTCAAGAATTAGGTAAAACTTTCGTACAACATGAAATGTAATAAATTTTTACATACTTAAGTAATAATAGTTCAGGAAAATTATTATTTTCGTGAACTATTAGTACTTAAGTATGTAAATTTTCTTTTCTCGCCTTCTGTCAATACACATGGTCCTTCTCGAAACTTGTTTCAATGTTGCCAGATCTCGACGCTTCTGCTTCTGAAGTTGCCAGATGTTTTTCCCTTATTTCATACTTGCTTTATTCTTCATAAGTGCTTAGCACCATATGAGGAAATTTATAAAGATCTTTTAACTAGAAGCAAGCAATCTAAAATTACATACATTTTGCAAAAGGTAAAGCATGGATCTGAAGATAATGCAGAAAAATGCTCAGAGGATAAGGATAACTTGCCAAAAAGA